GACCGATGCCGCCATAACCGCGACATGTAAGTATGCAAAGTCTGCCCCCGAAACGCCCCAAACATGCAAAGCCGCAACACCCTCCTAGCCAGTATAGGATCGTAAGTAGTTTCGTCATGATACCTGAGCCATTCCCCCCTTGCCCCTATCCAGCCAAATGTAGAACTCCAATACTCCGTGACGTGGTGTCGTGTAGTGTAGTACCGTATCGTGTTATAACGTGAACAAAAAAAAAAAAAAAGGTGTGTAAATATCCAATTCTTAATGAATAGGATGGAAAAAAAAAAGACATTATATAAGTATGCACGTCTGCAGCAGATCAATAATTACCACCGCTATTACACCCACATCAAATTCCTCCCCTGCTGCCGATTCTGCTGCCACAGCGGCCTATTCCCCATACCATTTCCCCTAGGCGGACTCTGGCTTCCGCCCGGGGACTCGGCGCCGGAGCGCAGTGCTCCGCCGTCGGTAAGTGGCTGGCGGTCCTCCTCGAGCTCCTGGGTGCCGATGCCCGCGCTCATGTACGCGCGCGAGAAGTCGTCGATCTCGGTTGGCGTGGGGCCTTGGCTGCTGATGATACTAGGGTCGGACTCGCGGTCGCTGTCCTGGTCGTGCGGGTTCTCTTCTTCCGCGACGGGGGTGAGCCCTGTTCCTACGCCCATGGGGGGGACTAGGCGCACGGTGGGAGGGTGGTAGCGCAACGGCTGGGAGAAGCCACGGGGTTTTGGGGCAGTCCTTGCGGGTGCCATGCCGGATTCTGCTTGGGGTGGTGGCGGCTCGGGGACCGAGCGGTAAGGTTGACTGGTGTATTGAGTTAGGGGTCTCCTGTCTTCCTCTTCGTCTTGCCACGAAGGGAGCGGTGCAAATGCTGCGCCGTGATTTTTAGGACTGCACGATGGGTTAGCTGGGCTCTTAGTATGTAGTACAAATTAGAGACTCACCCGATATATTCCGTCCTGGGCGGCGCATTTGTTGGTAAAGGCCCAGGACCTTCGCGGTTGTTACCACGCCGCTTCCGCATGAAGAAGAGGACTATGGCAACAATTATCGCTATCAGAATGGCGGCTCCGCTGATGGAACCCCCGATGATAGCCCCCCTATTAGTCCCACCGGCTCCTGCCGCCGCCGTGGGTGAACTAGAATCGGTGGGTGCTCCGGCACCAAACGAGGATGTTATACTCGGCCAGGTAGTCGTGCCAGTAGTCGATGAAGGTGATGTTGTGGATGAAGACGAAGATGTAAGTGAAGATGAAGATGTAAGTGAAGATGAAGTAGAGGTTGAAGATGTTGATGACGATGAAGAGGATGTAGGCCAAGATGAGGATTGTGATGAGGACGATACGGAGGATGGTGACGACAGTGGAGACGAATATTCAGAGACAGACGAAGGGTCTGTTGTAACTGAGGGTGTTTGTGACGTTGGTGATGCTGTATCAGACCCACTAGGGGGAGGAGGATCCGGGTTAGGGTCCTCCGTCGCACTCGAAGGCTGGGACCCGATGGAAGTAGGCTCGGGAAGGACTGACGGCAATGCCGTCAGCGGCACTGCTGTCTCTTCGAGCACCAAGCTTGTCATGCCATCGACGGATGTTTCGACAGTAGTACCCAATGATGATGCGGTTCCGCAACCAAACTGGAAATACCCGCCAGCAAAGTTATTCCTGTAGCACACGTCCGACCCTTGACACGTATACACGTAAGGGTTGATTTCTGTTTGCAGTTCGCTGTTCCGGTCGACACAACCAGTAAATATACCCGTCGAGCAAGCTCCGCCGTCCGGACAGCAGCCCACCATACCATGATCCTGCTCCAATACGCAATGGGACCCTGCCGAGCATGTCGCAGGTAGGTTTGGATCACCCCCGATAAAGCCGCATACGGTGTTCTGTCCCTGTCTTCGTAACAAGTCGGAAAGTAAGACTGGAGCTTCCGTTGGCCGCGGAAAAGGAAAAGGAACGACATTCAACTCATGCAGCTCAACAGTTTTCGTCTGTCTGGGCAGCACATGACCACTCGTCAACTTAAACGCCGCGCTGAGAAGGAGAGCAGCAGTAGCCGGCGGAAGGCGTAGAAAGCCGGCGTTGGATACTGAGTGAGCCATGATTCAAATCCAGGACCAGACGACCGGCCAAGTTGGGATCGTGAGAGAGTACAGTAAATTCCAATCCAAATTGGCATCAAGATCGAGAAGGAATAAGAAAAGATGGATGTCGATGAGAAGGGTCTTCTTTAAAGAAAAAGAGGCGAAGGCAGGCAATGTAGCAGTCAACTACTGCACATGCGCGACCAGGGTGTTGCACAACAAGGCTGAGACCTGCTCAAGATTGCTTCTTGTCTGCACGATCTAGAAATAGGTACCTATAGCGTCGTGCTGTCTTACAGCATCTAGCAGCGGCTCCTATCCATAGCACAGGCGGCACAAGTCATGTAAGCTGTGCATGAAAAGGGTTGGATGAAAATAAAAAAGAATGTTTCGTTCTGGTTATCTGATACTTAGTGATGGAAACATTGAAACATTCTCTCGGTTCTTTTGAAGAATGTCTATCAACGGTAATTGTGGCATAAGCATTGCCACCGGCAGAATCAAGTTCCCTCTATGTTCGCCAACACGCCAACACGCCAACACAATACCTATACCAGCGATCGGCGCATCTGTGGAAAAGCCAATCGGTCCCAGGGTTCTTCGCTACACGGCCGCCGAACCCTGGGCCCTGGCGCCAGATAGTTTATGGGGAAGGCTATGACGAATCATAAAAGTGTATATTTGCTAAAATAGCTTTTTATAGACATGTCTGGCCAATTAAGGTAGATGTGGTAGAATGTACACAGCCACGGGCGGGAAGACGATGAATGGCTCCAGGGATGACAGGGCCGCCGCAGGGGTACTGCCCACCCTTCAACGACTTCGGTAAGATCTTTTTTGTGGTCTAGATTTTACCCTGTAGAAGTGGGCTTGCAGGCTTGCTAAATCAATGACATAGTGACTGTAACCCTGAAGAACGCACCCCGGATAGTTGCCATCGTCACACTTTCTGCATATGTGATTGAGCAGCTCGGTCTTCGCTTCCGCGACCAAGAAAACAGCGTTCAAGTGTAGTAACTGTGCAGCTTCGGTGTTTGTTTAGATGACAAAAAGGTGAAACAAGGTGTACCTGTGATACCGGCCGAACGGTATGAGAGGCTGTTCTGGGCCGTTAGTTACCGCATACCTGCATCTCGGCCCTCTGTTAAGAGTCAATCTGGCTGCGAGAACCGAGTAAATTCTGGATTCCGGTTGAGGCAACCTAAATCGGGTTGAGGCCTTCTAAGCAACTTTATCTTGAGCCAGCAGCATCTCCCGGGACGTTAGGCCGAATATACCAAGCCACCTAGTATAATGCAGGCAGATCGTAGGATGCCTTTGTACCTGCATGGATTTAGTGGCACTTAATAGCAACAACATAGCAGAGAAATCCCGTCGTAGATAATAGCGAGTTGCTAATAGCGAGAATCAGTGTACTCCAATCCGTCCTCTCCCTTCATGGTACATCCTATTTAGGAGTGGAACATGCGATTTCCGGAGCCTATTGAGGGCCCACGCAATAATCCAGCTACAGTGGGTCGAGAAAATAAACGTCAAATGGTAATGTAACATGGTGTATAACGATTTGTAAATTAAATAACTATTTATATTATATAGGTAAAAATCCACTTTTTATATAATAGAATATTTAAACCAATGATATAATTTATCCATATTTTTTTTAAGTTTTATTATTTAAATAACCCATAAAATATAAAAGATAAATTAATAGGTAATTTTAAAAATAAAATGGTTAAAATAAATATAATTAATTACGTTTATAAGTATTTAAATTTAAAATATTACTATAATTATTTTAATTTATAACAGTTATAAATATAAATTTTCTATAATTTTAAATTAAATCCTTAAATTTTAACTTAATTTTATTTTAAATATTTTATTAAAACATGTATATTAAACGGTTTTCCCATATAAAATCGACACTTTTTAAAAATACCCCACTTTAACATTTTTTAATTAATTTAAAAGATTCTTTCAAATAAAAGTAAAAACGCCATTAAATCCGTTTTACATTAGTTTAATTTATTCCATTTTAATATAAAATGTTTATATACAATTTTAAATAAATATAAATAAGTAAACATGGTAACTTTTGGTGTAAAAAAGCCATTTAACGTTTATTCTTTCGAGTCACTGTACCATATCGTATGTCATGCAATCCATGGCGGTTATTCCAGCGTTTTCTTGACTATCTGCACAGCTAAACGCCCGCTACTTGTGAACTTTGAGCATAGTGTGGTACAGCGACGTGGAGCGAAAATTCGGTGGGCCTTCGCGGATGTCCATTGGAGAAGAAACAAGGTCAACCGTGCTCGTTGATCGTGAGTGACTACTAAGTCGATCAATTATCCGATTAGACGATAATCCATAATCCATCCAGATGGGCGGCAGATGGGCGGCAGACAAGACAAGACCCGCAGACTGACGCTACTATGGAATAAGCGGTGATGGATAATGGATACGAAGAATTCCGAATCTAGCGTCTTAAACCATTGGCTACCTATCTGTAAACGAGTCAGAATAGCGTCAAAATAACTGGCGCAGTCTCCTAACAATTATGCTGGTAAGTGCGCCACCTTTTTTGACGTTATTCTGCGAGTCTAAGGGATGCGGTCATTTTTATTTAGTATGGTAGTTGTTGTTGCAACTTGGGAAAATGTTATTCGTTGGTTAAGAGGCGAAAATCTTAAGCGAAGGATAGTTGTCGCCTTCTATTACGAGTTACCTACGGAAAATGTAAAGTGTTGCAATGTAAAACAGGATTAGAGATTCACGATTCCGGGTACCGAAGCTGGAAAGTTTAGCACCGCCATAGATCGATAACGATTTGTGGCGGGTGTGGCAATGAGCCTCGGTACATACTAATGTAGGTACCTGCGGTACCCTGAATGCTCAGTGAGGTAACTCTGCAGGGACATGCATATTTTTATCGAACCAACAACATTTCATCTGATCACCAGGTGCCAATTTAGCTTAAGGGTCTTCGTGACGATATCAAGTTTTGCGGGGAGTTTGAAGGATGCTAAATTTTAGTTACCTCAGTTGACCCCATCGTGAAAGCGCTTATCTCCTTTTCTAGGAAAGTGATGAGATATGGCGAAGGAATCAAGCAAAGCACGGGCCGTTGATGTCTTGATCCCATAGCCACTCCGTACCCAGTTTAACCTCCGCATTTTGCCCTTTGAAACGAATCGTCGTTGCACTCTTTCCGCACATTAATATTCCTTGAACTTCCTACGATCCCGGCTCGTATATAATGAATTTTTAACGTTTATACGCTGTAAAAGGGTTGGCTTAAGCATCTAATTACCCAGGTACGATGCCAATTCGCGTCAAGTCGCGTCCCTTGGCGACCCCGGATCGTGCTTTGTCACCAGTCTCTATCCCCACTGAAGTTCCCCTCCCTGATATCGCACATGAAGATGTCTTCCGCGATGTCGTTAAGAAGCTTTCCATGTAGGTTGATTCTGCTCGGCAACTCAGTTTAAGTTATCACTGATCAACATTGCAGATATGTAACTGGGGTTGTTTATTTGCCAAGCACCTTCGAACAACTAAGGACTACATCGGCTGGTGACGATCTACACGCCCTTGTTGACCATCTTAGCACCCGTGTCACCAATCCCGCAATCGTAAACGCTTTATTGTGAGATGCTTCCTTAATATGGTCTTTAACCTCTATATCAAATTCTACTCTCTTACTCAACTGCTCAATTATGACTAAGCCTTCACGGTGGCAACGTGCTATGACGACGAAAAATCTCAATAGACGACCAATTCATGAACCATGAAATCGTTACTAATAATAATATAGGGCATTGAGATGGCATTACGGCTCGATAAGCGATGGCCGAGGCATCAGTGAAGCTCGTGCAAATGCTTGCGAGATCGTTGCCTGGAGGTTTTTAACTCGTCTATCGGAACGGGAAGCTGTCGAGTTTTGCCTCTATGAGATCCCAGATGGCAGCCAAAGCGATGCAGCCCCTGCCGATGAGCCCGCAGATGGTGGTGAAAGTAATGAGCGTAGCTCTCTACTGCATCGCCCTTCTAGATCTCCCTCACCAGATCGCCGCTCAGACAATCGTTTTGGGTCTGCGAGACGAAGCCAATTGTTTCAATCAATCTCGAAGTTGACTATAAGTCGACATACTAGTGAGGTTGAAGAACTAGAGGATGACCCTACCGAACCTTTTACGCATCTTAACGGCCTAGAAATAGCGGCTATTGCTGATGCAAAGAGGTTTCTTAGCCAGCACGTGGTACAGAAGATCATCACAGGCATTTGGAACGGCGAGATTATCTTCTGGGACCGTCTTTCAGTCCACTCGGAGAAGAAACCCCGGTTTTACAATCCCAGCACAGCCGACCCCTTTTCACGACTTCGAGTACCCAAGTACCTCAAAGCTTATGAGGTTGCGTTCTTCGTTGGGTTTTTAATGTTATACTACAGCGTGTTGATCGAGCAGAATCGTTACGCCATTACCCCCCTAGAAATATTGCTCTACGTCTGGTTTGCCGCCTTCTTCTACGATGAGGTTAGCGAATATATTGATGCCGGATCGATTTTCTATGCGGCAGATGTCTGGAATTTATTTGATATGATAATGATTGCCATCGGAATCGTCTTTGCGGTTTTGAGTAAGCATATGATACTATTCGCTTTCAGTTCGACATAAAATGCAATGTGCTAATCTTCACTGATAGGATTCGTTGGATTATATAGGGCTGATTATACCCTTGTGGATATTGGCTTTGACGTCTTATCGCTGGAGGCCCTCTTTATGGTACCTAGAGTCTGCTCGATATTTAGCTTGTCCCCATACTGGGGTACTTTAATACCTTGTCTCAAAGAGATGGGGAAGGACTTCTTGAAATTCATGGTTCTGGTAGTCATTGTATATGTCGGGTTTTTAACAACCTTTTCTCTCGTCGGGAGGGAGGCATACTCATTTTCGCACATGGCCATGATCGTGACCAAGATCTTTTTTGGGTCTAGTTACGTTGGGTTTGATATTATGGAAGAAATCGACCCCATCTTCGGTATTTTCTTCCTTTCCACTCAACCGGCGTATCTCTTCTAACCTTTCTCCTAGGACCTCCTCTCATGTTAATTTTTGTCACGCTGAGTTCAATCTTACTTATGGGCTCCCTAACGGGTATGCTCAGTAATAGTTTCTCAAGAGTTATTACGCACGCTCGCGAAGAGTATCTCTATGTCTACAGCGTATACGTGCTTGAGGCATCAACCAGCAACAGGCTCACACATTTCTACCGTAGGTGGCTCCTCTTATTACATCTATATGTGTCATGTTGACTTGAGTTATAAGCTCCGTTCAATCTTATCGCGCTAGGAATATTCAGGCCGTTACGCCTATTTCTACCCTCAGACGATAAGTTCCGGCAAGCACGCATTCTACTTCTCCGGGCAACGCACGCACCAATCGTCGGAGCTATTCAGGTCTATGAGTGGCTCACCAACAAGGTTAACCCCGACGGTTTCGACAACTTCCGCGGCCCACGACAGAATTCTTTTAAACGACACGCCGCACCACCCCCCAATGGACCAGGGAGCAGACCGCAATCGGGATATCGACCACGTATGTCAACACCGCGTGCTACTAGCGCGGAAGTGATTGATAAACCGAGGCCTCAGCAACGAGTGCTTGAGGATTATGCTGGAGATGCACCTAGCAATGTGGAGGTTCGAATCTCAGAGTTGGCAGCAAAGATTGATCGGCTTACTGCTTTGGTTGTTGCGTTACAGTCTGGTGCCGGTATCGAAACGGTTCGAACTTGACAAGTCTATAGCACATGCATTGCGTGTGAAAAACGTTGCTAAGAACCCTCCGCTGAAGAGTTGAAATCACCAAGGGGCGATGGATATTGTACAGTCTACCTAACGCATAGAATCTGTGTCTTGTACCTATATAGCTGTTTGCATCACTATCTAGAATCACTAGCTGGTTTAATGCGGTTTGCTTTTACACCGTTCGAAATAGCATGCAGAGCATCATATAAGGAGCGTAACGGTGTGTATTAACTTGTTGTTTATCCCGAGAGTAATCCAGCTTCTTAGCTCGAATACACACGTAACTATGAATTGTCCTCTCTTCTAGAGATTATAACCAATGAGTATATTCGAACCTCTAATGCTGATATTAGTGGGTCTCCGCGCCCTTTAACCGACTTCATGATAACACCATCACCTCCACACCATTAATAGGCAGCTTATTAGCGCTTCCGCCTATAAGACTCAGCAGCTCTTCCGAAAGCGGCAATTTTCTTAATCCTGACTCAGCTCATCGAAGTCAACTTCAGCATATAAGTTAGGTACTTATAGTCTTTACTTATAGTCTTTATAGTATCTACAGGCTCGAAACAGTAGAAGAGAAGCTACTTATCAACTACTCCTCGAAGCTTAACGTATCGAATAGGTTACTACTTACCCAGGCAGTTGAAAATGGCTCTCCAATTCTTCACCCTCGACGTCTTCACGTCCCAACGACTCCAAGGCAACCCCCTCGCCGTAGTCACCGTCCCGGCAGCGCTCAAGGACAGCCTTACACAAGCTACCAAGCAGAAGATTGCGCAGGAGTTCAATCTCTCGGAGACGGTATTTTTACACGAGGCAGCAGAGTCGAATGCTGGGAACGAAGAGCGCTACATCGATATCTTCACTATCAAGCGGGAGATCCCGTTTGCCGGCCACCCGACCATCGGCACCGCGGTGCTAGTGAAATATCACCTTCACCCGCACGTGCAAACTCTCGTTACGAAAGCCGGTCCCATTAGCATTGTTCCGCAGCCGGAGAACCAGATCCGCGCTAAGATCCCGCACGACGTGCACCTGCATACGCAGACGCTCGCGGACGTCGTCGCCGCCGCCGCAGCAGGGCTCTCGCCCGACCCGCAGATCCGGGAGGCGGAGCTGCGGGCCCCAGTGTTCAGCATCGTCAAGGGCATGACGTTCGTGCTGGTGAAACTGCCGTCGCTGGAACTGCTCTCGCGCGTCAGCACGGGATACAGGCTCGACTTCGATAACCTGCCTAAACCGTTGTTGGACGAGGGGCCCTGGGGGAACAGTTTCGTCAGCCGGTATTACTACGTGGATGTGGGCGGCGAGGAGGAGGAGGAGGAGGAGGAGGGCGGCGCTAGGGCTATTCGTGCGCGGATGGTGCAGGGTGGGTTCGAGGACCCGGCTACGGGGAGCGCGGCGTCGGCGCTTGCGGCGTATCTTACGCTTGGGGAGGAGAAGACGGGGAGGAGGTTTAGGGTTACGCAGGGGGTGGAGATGGGGCGGAAAAGCGAGATTAGTGTCGAGACTACGACGAGGGGGGGTGCTGAGGGGGGGGTTGGGTTGGTGGATTTGTGGCTGGGTGGGACGGCGGTTGTGGTGTTGAAGGGGACTTTGACGCTTGATGGGTTTGCTTGAGGGATGGGTTGGTGGTACTCACTTAGTCGTTATACTATAGACTTTTAATAGTCTATTAATAGGGGTTATGGTTTACTTTAACTTCAAGTCTATTACAACAGAAATGATATATTAAGATTATCTATGGTTAAAGGAAAAGTATCTAATAAATACTGCTAGTAAGTCAGTTAGCGTGGGTATCCAATGCTTGAGACTTTCGCTTCTGGGTATAATGATTGTCTTCTTAACATCAACTGGGGTATACACTTCTACAACTCTTCGAAATATCATATGTCGTGAAAGAAAACTCTTGAAGCTAGAGCTCTCAATGTCTGATACGGCCACGCCTAGAGTCTTTGATCTTACTCTATATTCTCCTCGTGTGTACTCTCCCTTTTCGTGACTCGCATCTTCATTTCGGACATGAGGAAGAATCCCGAGTTTATAATCTCTACCGGGCTCTGCGGGGTGACGATGGAGAAGTCGAAGCGCCGAAGTAACTATTAGATTGGGTTGGTTAGCTTTGTTATAGAAAGAAAGGATATTAACAGGGTACAAGTCAATGTCAGAGTTGTGTCGACCATACACAACTACTAACGCCAGGACATACCTCAACAAATACTTTGTTCAATTCCATCTGGGCGATAGTCCGACCAAGACACTTATACCGGCCTGACCCCCAAAGAGTCTCTATGACGCCCTCCATCATCTCGAAAGTACTCTCGTCGACCTCAAGCCACCTCTCAGGCCGGAAGACGTCCGCATCGTCGCCCCAGTACTTCTTCGCTCGCATAATGCCCAAGACGTTGTGGCCGACTTCAGTGCCCTCGGGGACGAAGTGTCCGCTGATGATGTCGCCTCCCTTGGGCACTTTCTTAAAGAACGTGGCTGTTACGACGGGGAATGCACGAAGACCTTCTTTGATGACGGCTTGTAGGTACGGTAGCTGTCGGGATTCGGCGTCCTTGATCGGCGAACTGATGTTTCCTTTCGCGATTGCGTCGTCTATCTCTGCCTTGAGCTTGTTGTATGCCATCGGATTAGCGATCAGAAGTAGGAGAGTCATACGGATACCCGTTGCAGTCGAGTCTGTTCCGGCAACACTATATTGACATTGTTAGTTCTAATAAGCTTTGGGCGTTGTAACTAGGAATACTTACACCTGCAGCATCAACTCGTTGATAGCTTCTTCCTTAGTAACGTCATGTTCAAGGAAAGCGGCAAGGGCATCTCTTCGTCGATCCTGGCCGTCACTTATGCTCTTTTCAACTGCGGCTTGCGCGAGTCTAACTCGGGAGTTAGTAGAAGAATCTTATACAGTTCCAGAAAAAAATATGTTCAGACTTACGCCATGTACTTGCCAACGCCATCAACGTCGAGGGTTGACGGATAGATCTTATTAAAAGGGGGCTTGAAGAAGATCTTAGTTAACCAGTGGAAGTTCGCTATCACAATAGCGGTTGAAAAGAAGTCCTCGTTCCACTTTACGAATTTGTGGACGTCCTCCCCCTCGTCTAAGCATCCGAACGGTCGACCGTACGATAGATCGCCTACACAGTCCATCGCGAAGAAAAAGGTTGCCGCTGTTAGGTCCAGTGGCCGGTACTCGCTTGAGGTTGAGATAAACTTGCGTTCGATTAAGTCTACTAAACGCGCAGATTGTCGATCAACACAGGCTTCTACGTGTGCGTTACCGGTGTAGCCGGGGCCGAAGTTTGTTCGGCGGCGGGTGTGTTCCTGGTCGTCGATAAGTGAGAAGGAGTTGTCTTGCGTAGGGTTGAACCTGAACGTCTGGTAGAACGGTCCTTTTGTATAGGCCGACTTGGGATGAGCCATTCGACGAATAATATCTACATCGGTGGTCATGAGCTGGTTTGGGCCGATCCGGAAGAGGTCACCTGGGAAAGTTAGTAAAAATAGGGGGTGGGGGGAAATGGCCGTCTGGCCATGATAAACATACCGTACTGGTCCCCGAGTTTTTTTAGTTCGAGGTACCATTTTCCTCTTATCTGTGTTGTAATTTGCCAAAGCTTGGTAGAGCATATCCAGAATGGTCCAGGGATATGTCGAAGTCGATACCAGTTCCAGAGAACGTAAGTAATCCAGCCCCCGAGAAGACATGGTAGGACTATATATGTTGTCAAAGACATGGTTAAAATTCCTGTATATTAGTGAGCTGTTTAAATTTAGGAGCGTTTATTAGACACCAGTTACACTGAACTCGTTATTAAACAGCTAGACATGTCTTGAAGGCAAGTAGAAAGTTATATTATAATTTATAAAAAAGGCCTTCTTTGTCTTCGCGGACAATAGCACACAACAGCTCAAGATACAGGGGGAACCCCGTCATAGTTTGCGAACATATGGCTTTGATGGTTGACTGAGTGGTTACTCAAGTTCGTGAACTACTACATTGTTCCATTATAGTCACGACTGTCGTTTCGAATCTGTATCTCGCTAGGGCTGAGACAACGAGGAGTGCGAATAGCTCGGGTGGTGTAAGCGGTAGTATATGAGGCGGTGTGCATGGCGATAGCTCAAGCTTGCATAGCATACTACACAACGTCCTATCAGCAACCCTTTCTGTAGGTACCAGGGTCGTTTTCGTGTATTTACTGCTCCATACATACCGACTTCTACTATTAGCTGGGTTTCTTGACAGGCAAGTGAAGAACATGATTCACCTCTGTAGTACATAATCGTCCATGGCGCCTCTCTTTATCTCGGCGTGGCATTGGAGGCGCTCAAACGGTACAGCAGGAGGATTCAACGTAGTCAGGTCATGAGGAGGCTTCTATGTCACCTCCATATTAAGCCTTAGGTTATTATGGGAGTATCTATGAATGGTATCTGCAGGATTAGGTATCTCTATGGGAAGTTCCGTAGGTAGTTATAAGTTACTTATGTGAGTCTATCGAGATATTTATCAGCCTGGGCTAATATTAGCATGTCTTCTGTACTTTTATTTCAAAATAATATCGTAGAAAGGCACCTTGTATTTCCCAAGATGTACTTCCCAGAACGAGGGGGACAAGCCCTCTTTACTAGTCATGTATATCAACTGACGTGCGAAGGAAAAGGAGGTGTGATAAGATCATGTAGTGTAAAGCCTTGTGTATGGGCCAGTACAGAAATCATATATGCTTGGCAAGGTTCAAGGATATTTAAAGAGACACGGACTCAACCTTCTACGGATGTATCCCGTTACACTACACGAGGCCCAATCCACGCTGCTCTAACATACACAAGCCTCGTGGTTCGGTGTCACGAAGTGGGATTGGCTTGGGGAAGCCGTCGAGGGGAGCGCTCGGCTTTGACACGAAACCACCACATCCCGAAGTCACATCTCTCAGGGCTTTATGATGGTAAACTCGCAGTCAGCTTGTAGTCCTTGATGGGGGCTAGCTGGAACGTAGCAGAACCGTATTTTTGATATCGTCGGTAAGGAAACCGACCATACGGGTGTATAACTAAAATTATTAGGATTATTCTTTTCCACTAGTATCCACCGAGGGCTCGCTTGTCTCCGAGATGCTATTCGGAGAGTAAAAGGGTTGCGTCACTTGAACTACGATTGGCTTTTGTAGATGCAGGCATCCGGCTTCCCCCATTCTGGCATCATTTACGAGGTCCTATGGAACACCCCGGACTTACGGTATAGTATCTTGACGAGGCGGCATAGAAGTTATACTGTCTTCATGAATCAACCTTGTCTAAAGGCGTATGCAAATGCGGCCGCTATTATCGGCCCGCCCCTATTGATGCCTTCCGAGATACCCGAACGAAAAGGTAATGGAATCCCAAGTAAAGATACGATATACTACGTGATATTTCTTCGCCGTTATGCGCCACATGCGGGCTTAACGGTTATCTAGCTGGTATCAAGTATCAGGTATCAAGTATCTGGCCCAAGGATTCAGGGGTAAGGGGATCTTCAGCAACAACTCGACCTTCCCTACTCAAGCGTAGTTCCATGACACACCAGCTACTTTACCAAGGTATTGCGTGGAGCGCAGATCGTGCCTACATGGGTCTACATGCGTTGGACGCATTTAATATCGCCAAGCGAGATCAGGTATCCTTCGATGTCAGATTAGACTGATCTGTACTCCCCTCGTGTGCGACCACCACCTAGATCTGGGGAATGCCTTACCACCCCCCTTGCCCTTCCGGGATCTAAGTATTCCATTAGTTATTAACCCAAATACACCAGCCAGTCCGTTTTCTTCGAGATCCTGCAATTACCAGAGAGGCTAAGGTAGGTACCTACCCTTCGCCTCCCATGGGACGAAGACACGATCCGACCTGCAACCACCCGATACGAACTGGCTCTGCCGCTTAGGTACCTAACCTACTTAACTTACCTAGGTATATATAAAACCCAACGCCGAAGCTACCTAGTGGCGTCGTAAGAATGACGTTTAAGGTAATATAATCGTGGCTAAGGAGTACGGATCCGAGCAGACGGTTCAGTCATCCTGCGCGCATATATCACATATCACATTATTATATCTCGGATAGGCACATCAAGATAGATACCCGAAGAATAACTTCCGAGCACTAAAGCATCATGTGCGCGCGATTAATAAATAAAGAATATCAATACGCTTAAACGCTTGTTACTATTCGCAGACTGGCTTTAAATCGTACCGAAATGGCGCATCATCGTTGCGGCCACCATCACCTTGCATTCTGATTTTTATAATTACTGGGCAATTAATTACTCGATTTAAAAGGCTCTAGGTTAGTTTACTATAGTACCTAGCTATGATTAGGTGTATTAGGATTGTTAGGTGCGCAATACAAATATAAAGAATGTGAATGTTTGTGTCAATACCTCTTTAAAATCTTATAGAGTTGGTAAATTGGCAATGTACCTATTATTCCTCTTCCATTGTGCTTTAAGTTCCTAAAGTATACACTAGCTAGCCTACCGGTGTTCATATTTCCTTGCAGATAGTAAATGCCCGTACGCCAACCTTCATACGGAGTATTTTTAGAACAGGACGCAACGATAACCGCTGCAGTGCAGGCTACATACACTGTTCAACAATACTGTTCGACATCATTATATATATTAATCACTATCCTCATCCTCAGCCACGAACTCGTCATCCTGCCCACTGTCCTCGTCGGAAGATACCGCAAGCTTCCTTCGAGTCCGCCTTCGCGCAGGCTGCTTCGGTTTCGCTTTCGGCTTTGGAGCAGCCTTTTTAGGCGCTACTTTAGCTGGAACTTCCGGTTCGGGGGACTCCTCAATAGGAGGGTCTTCTGCCTCCTTTTGTTTCCCGTAGTCCACCTCAAAAGGATCGTTCCCGTCATCTGAATCTTCCTCCTCATTACCACCTGGGAAGAACCCGGAGGTTTGACGAGGGGCCTCTTTCTCTTCGACCGCTCCCTCCTCTTCATACCCCTCAGGTAAGAATCCGCCGGCCATGTCCTCGTCTCTCTCACGCATGGCCTCGAAGTCCTTGCCATTATCATTGTTGGGGGCGTGACCAAATACCTCCACCGACTCATCTAGATAGCCATAATCTTGCTTGAATCTCTCTGCGATTCGCAAACCCATCAAGAACCTTCGCCATGTATATAGAACCTCCTTGCGCCGCTTCTCGTTTTCTTTCCTCGTCCGTTCCGCTTCGTCTTTCTCGAGTTGCTCCATTACACGCTCATAGTTTTCCTCTGCAATAACTACGCCTTGAATAACTAAGAATAAAAATTAGTAATCGTCCTATTAGGTTATACACCAAGGAGGTAAATGACATACCGGGCACGGCCATCCGATGACCAAATTCGAACCCAACCACCGCCTCCGCGTAATCAACTTCTAATCGCTTGCAGACACGAACAACGCCGCGATATGGGACGTGAATAGCACCTATATCTTGGTTAATAATGGAGCTCAATAGATCATACTGAACGAATTACCTTCTGGACACATGTGCTCTGCAAACATATCGATGTTCCTGCATTAATATTAGCCTTGGCCGTGTTATAGGCTGAGTAATTGACATACCCATATTCGTTCTTCGGAATGATGCCATTCTGAATAGGAGGAGGTATTATCCAATCTGTTTGGTCGAAGCTGTATAAGGGTTGCATGACTTTCTGGCCTGTTGCCCTTTCGGCCTCGGCAATTTCCCTTCGTCTATTGGTTGTTGCAGCTCTATAAGGAGCATGCTTGAGTGGTTGGACGCCTTCGATAGGAGCTCGGCCTTGCTTGTGCCAGGTCTCGGCACTCTTCACTGTCACCACATCCTTTCGCAGATATACATTTTCCTCTTCAACTTTGGATGCCTTCCCTTTGTTGCGGAATACTTTGACAGGGACAGCATCGGGAAGAAGAGCCTCTTCGCGTTTGAGATGACGCTCTAAGGCGTATTCCTTTGAAGTCTTATAGTACTGTAATGTCTCTTCTCCTTCCTTAACTTCTTTCTTCTCTGGCTTTGCCGGCTTGAGATCAGTGGAGTCTTCCGCCTCGTCTACTTCTGTGATTGGGTGTTTCCTATCACCCCGGATATAACCTCGCATAACTGATTTGAACCAATCAAACTGGTCGTATCTCTTGACCTTGCCATGTTTGTTGTAAACTGGTATTTTCTCTTCAACCATCCTGAACCCTTTCGTTTTACCAGGGAAAATATTCTTCTTGAGGTACCGTACCGTAACATCTTTGGCCGTGCCATCTTGAGAAAACCCAATACAATAAGCCATAACTTGTTTTGCTTTGTCGGCTTTTCCTCCTCGTGGTTCCAGGGTTTCGACCAGGTCTCTACTGTTAGCTACAACAGATTTCACGATGGGATCCACCGGAAGAAACTCCTTCGTTACCGGAGAAAGAACCTCAGTCCAATAATGAGGAAATTCAAGGTCCTTATCATAAACTTTTGCTTCTGCTCGCCTTGGACGAACAGTGTTTGTAACATCAACTACTGACGAGTCGTCATTACTTTCATCTGTGAGCGGATCGCCATATTCATCCGAATCATCCAAGTCCATCTTTAAAGCACTTTCATCATTCTTCTTTGCTCGACGGGTTGCTGGTTTCGCCCTTTTCTTCTTTCCGTTTGGTTTCTTCGGCGTAGATTCATTAGGCGTACTCGTATCATCCTGGGCCTTTTGAGCATTGATTTCAGCATCCGCTTCTTCGACCCTACTCCAGCCAAATCCCAGTGGTTGGAGATTTGCAACCATTCGTGCTTCTAGTCCAAGACCTCTCAATAGCGCGGTGAAAAGTTGAGCTCCGACGTCGCGACTGCCAGTACAATCCTGAGCACGCCGTCTGAACTCCTCGAGATCCTTAATCCGTTCCCCAAACCGACTCGAGTCATCGCCTTCTGCTTCGAAGCTCGAAGTTAGTTTTCCTAGTCTTCTGGCGTTCATGTAACCGATTTTGCGCAATCCAGGACTAATTATTCGAAACCTTTGCTTCCACCATGACACGAGACATTTCATAAGTCTTAATAAAGGATCGCCATGACTCATGTCAGGAACGCCCTTTTCAAGCCTGTCTGCTGCATTGCTCCAATTTCTCGTCGATCCCGAAGCCCGCTGCTTTCCTTTCCCTTTTCCTTTTGGATCAGATTTAGTCTTTGTAGGTTTCTTTGGGGTATCTTCGGGTATGTCTAAGCCGCTGTTTCGTCTCCAGCGATCCACCTCGTCCCATAACCTCGGAGGCAAGTGTGAGATCATGATAGCTTGAACTTCTCTATCACAAAGCCAGGAATTCCGGATCGCATTATGCCAGAGTAGGAGTTGAACGTGCATACAATGTATCGAAATACGGATGGCCTTTTCTTTTTTTGAGGGACCTTTCTTACCCATTTCGCTAGTCAATGGAAGTTCGTTTTCTCGGTTTAATGTCAACTCGAGATCACCCCCCAAATCCGGATCCTGCTGCTGAATCTCATGAGAAGGGACATCTTCAAACTCCATATCATCGTCTTCCGACTCCTCCGGATCATGATTCACCTTCTGCCGCTTAGTAGCCGGCACATCCTCGAAATCAGCATCCGAAAGAGAAGTGAGCGAACTATCATCACTATCATCGTTATCTTCATGCATTTGCTGTATAACCGACTTGGTCTTTTCAGCAGAGCTCTTCTTAGTGCTTGAATCCAGATCATCAAATAAGGTATTCTTGCGAGGCGGCACGGATGCTATCGGCGTGCTTTTACCCCTACTTGACTCTTTTGTAACCCGGTTATCGCGGTCTTCTGGCGGGGTGCGCAATCGCTTGCGCGGTACATACGGAGGCATCTTGATGATAACATTAAGAAGGTAAGTTAGAATTAAACCGGACTTGATATATATTTTACGACATTACGACACCTCGCTATGTAAGACAGAACCTTGTAGGCACGAATTAATTGTCGTCATTGAAATGCGCCGGAAACGCGAAACCCCGTGACTTGTAATGGCTCTTTAAAGTTCAATTAAACCTTAACTACGAAGTAGGACTGGTCAGTAGACCCCGGTAGCCCGGGGCCGGGCAGCCTGCACACCCTTGGGCTAGGTACCTAAACTCTAGCGTAAGCTCCCGCCTAATTCAGCCGCAGCGCATTTGTAGCCCCGCCACTAACTTACCTAAAATCGGCCTCTCCTAACTCACGGCTCCTTCTAGACTATTCTGCGACATCTTAATCATTAGCCTCGCCATCTTCGAGGCTTACGAGTCGGCATCTGCCTGCCGTCATTCATTTTTCCTATGAAAAAATTTATATAAATAGGGGAAAAGTACATAAGAAGATCTCGTTATTAATTTTTAAAAATGGCATCCTCATCAGCCGAAGCTGAAGATACCAGCTACGTCAAAATGGATAAAGAAGCCGACATATCGCTTGTCGGCAAGCACTGCCAACTCGAATACTGCAACCAGCTCGATTTCCTACCCTTCTTTTGCCAGAGCTGCAAGAAGACATTCTGCCTCGACCACCGAAGCGAGACCTCTCACAAATGCGCCAATGCCGGCGCCTGGGCCGAACGACGACGCCAAGCTCAGTTGGCAAAACCCTCCGTGGGCGAGGGGAAGCGCTTGCGCGACCTCGTTTCGCAGAAGCCATGCGCCGCGACGGACTGCAAGACTGTCGTCGGCACATCTCTAGTCCCCGGCGTTCACTGCTCGACATGCAATCGCGATTACTGTCTTAAGCACCGGCTAAAGGAGGAGCACGACTGCAAAAATAAAATCCCTATCGGCGCGCGCCCCCAGTTCGACGTATCCGAACAAACGAAGTCCGCATTCGCAAAGTTGAAGGCTTGGGGCGCCGCTAAGAGAGAGGTAGCGAGTCGGGCGCTTCCGAAGCCCAAGCCTACGTCAGCATCAGCGCGCCTCGTCGCCGTCAATAACCTGAAGAAAGTCGCCAAGGGGGATGTTAAGTTGCCACCTGAAAAGAGGGTGTACCTATATGTGGAAGCAGAGGCCGAGACCACAACGGCCAAGAATTATAAGGGCGAGTTTTTCTTTTCGAAGGATTGGGTCATTGGCAGAGTACTGGATGCCGCGGCCAAGAGTCTACAGATCGAGAACGTCAACAATCAGTCTTCCGAGGAAAGGGATAAGCTTCGGGTATTCCACGTTGAAGGAGGGCGGGTATTGGAGTTCAACGAAAAGGTTGGCTCTGCGCTTGTGAGTGGTAACACGATAGTGTTACTGCGAGGTATAGGGCCACCGCCTGATCTTATCGAGATGTAAACCTAATCTTACGAATTACGAATTATTGCATTGCATTTGAAACGGCGTTTCTAGAATTGCATTTTGAGCGGAACGGAGATACCTAAATCAATAGGAGCAGAGCATCTAATTTATATTTATGGATGTCCTATATAGACACAACTCACTCTGAAGCGCAATGTATACACGCATTCCATGGTGATCCCCCATCACCCCTAATTCAGGCTTTGTAGTGATATCAAAACATGTCCCCGGAGAGTAGAGACGCCTCTCTTTACGCCGTATATGCTAGTCCATCTTTTATCTTGGTATTCATTTTTCTTACAGTTCCTTTTCTTTCGACTGCGTATTTGGCCTATGTGCCAAGGCGGCTTCCCGTCCTGTCGTTGGAGATTCACCAACGTACCCCTGCCCACCGTATGCCTCAAAACCCTTGTGGAACATCCACTCAACAGCATTTTCTACCGGCTTATCGAAAATCGTCGGTAAGAACGGTACAATAGCAAGGCCAAGCCCTATAGGACCCCATGTTCTGACCGTTTTATTCTTGACATCCTTCAATGCCCTCCCCGAGTATTTGACAACACTGTGGATCGTGAAAGCGGGTAGTCCCATCGAAGCGAGACTTTGGAAGATAGCTCGTTGGACCATAACGGTGCGGTAATCCTCTAACGGCGACACGACTCCGGGCTTGGCATCAGCGGGCGCTGTAGTCGACAAACCAGTAAGTTTCTGCTGCTTTTCTGACAGTACTATCTGCGGGTTTAACTTCCGCTGGTTCTGCCAGTAGGCCTTGTATCCTTCGTACGAAACATCACCTAAGATGTACAGCCACGATACACCATATGCGCTTCTGACTAGCCACGGATGTGCGACAGGCCTGAAGGACTCTCCTATATCCGAGGTATATGCCACATAACGGTGGGCCGAGAGCATAATAGTTCGTAGTCTGTTCGCGTAGGCGGCATATCGTACGTTGGACTCGGTAGAATCGTGCGCACTGAGCAAAAGTACATTAGCCCAACAACGCATCAACTAGATAAATGACATGCGCAACATACTATCCTTCTACGAGGTCATCAAAGAAATTCTCATCTTTGTCAGCCTTATCCACGATCTTCTGTAAGTCCTTTGGCAGCTTGCGCTGCGTTGGGGCCTTATCGGGATCGAACTCGTTGACATCGCTGCGCGAGCTGGTGTTGGCTGCTGGGGATGGCGGGGTTTCTGGTTTCTTATCTTTCGCAGGTTCAGTCTTGTCTGGTCCTTTACTCCAGAACATCGTGGCTACAAACCAAGACCCAAGGGAAGCGATAGATTATAATATATCTAGGCAAAACTAGTTATTTGAGGTAATAATTTATAGTCACAATACCCAATATCAAAGTTTCGCGAGAATGGGGCCTAGCATGCTTAAATATGACCTAAATCGGGAAAGCGTGGAAGCTTATCGACACTCTTGGTGACGTCGCTATCTATCGGCATTCGGACGGTCCTGCCTGTTACCCCCGGCTCAAAGCTTATTGCTGCAAGATCCGTGTGCCCAGGCCGGGGTTTGTCCGGGATGTTTTCATGGATAAACTTCGGTATCAGCCGTATCCTTTGACGAATCAAACAAAGCGCTTCAAGACCCACTAAGGCTAACGTCTCTAAGTTAGATCAGATTTGGGGATTTCAACTTCGGAGCTTCTGAGCAGTATTTTGACGGTTAACATACAAATACCCTTTCGATACTTACGCCCTCGTCGACTCGCATCGGAAACCTCCCTGTATCCATTCGCTCGCGGTCAATTCGTCAATACCGTCAAAATGGTTGCCATGTACAATATTTTCGGCCGCCAGATCGGCTCCCATTACGTGCGTCGCCATATGTCTTTACTACGGCCGACATCAACATGCTAATTATCTTGCTCTCTCCAGCTCGCAATGGGTGTTCTCGCTACCCTATTCACCGGCACCTACGTCGGATTCAGTGGTGGAAGCAAGAAGACTACTCAGACCCCTCCCATCAACGCATCAAGCCCTGACGAGGCCGATTTCATCCAGTGCGCTATCCCGGATATCCCGCGACGAACCATTGCTAACTAACGATGATAGGAACTTCTTGAAACAAGCCGATGCGGACGAGAAGGCAGCGAAGCATTAGATTTGATCGGATAATCCAACCGGTCCGGGTCTTAGTCAATTGTACATAATAGATGCGGTTACAATGAGCAGGCAACCTGAGAAGGAACTTTGAAATCACCCGAAGTCCTCTTATTCTATATAAAGTCTCTATGTGATATTGTCGAAACACTTGGGGCCTATGAACGGCATGCGCAAAAAATAGCATCATTGAATCATTGATCATAACGTCCCTTGTTGCTCCGGAAGAGTTAAACGTAAAGTACGTCTCTGAAACTTTCAGTAAGCGAGAGTCGACAACACATACGTCAAGGCTCGACTTGCTGTCCTAGCATGTCGAGAAACAGAGACAGGCCTTAAGATAATAGAAGGAGAAGATCATATTAGATCATTCTTTAACCTTACTTAATCTTCCCTGCCTCTATACCTTAAGTAGGCAGGGCAGGCAGAGTCAACAATCACTCTCATGAACATTTTGAAACCAGTAATGGAGTTATCCACTACACGTCGCTTCATATCCGTAAAGCAAATTTAAACATACGGTTCAACATCAACCTCTGGCCGAAGTTGGAAGCTTGCTTCGTAACCATTATGGAAGTCGAGCTTGGAGGCAACAGAAAATGACACATACAACTAATACAACCTAGATACCCATCTTCACTATCAGGCAGGACACGGTCGTGGGTTTTCAATGTGTATCATCCCGATGCAAACCATAGTATTAAACCACTCATAGCAGGTTAGCTTCAGCGCAAGAGCTCTACCAAGCATGTGAGCCATTATCCCCTACGATCTATTCCTAGATAATTGCCAAACGCTTGTGCATAGTTTAGCAGAGCCGAATCCTAGGCATATTGCTATTTTAAAGTATACTTCTAACTTTCCACCTGTCCGTAACTCAGCGTTCGATTACGATCTTTTGCCTAACTCAGAATACGACACTCCGAACATACCGACGCGTCATATAGCTTATATATAACGACCTAGAAAAATAGACATAATTTATGTTGTGTCGAAGATTCTACCGGGCAGCCATGAAAGCGCAAATATATGTAAATCTATGATACTACTTGATCGGAGTCATAGACTGTCCACGGTTGAGGGTTATTTGACAACCTCACTACTACCAAGATCTATAATTATGCCATTAGGTATATGTTTTTGTTGGTTAGAATATATTTATCATATCTAAGATATGGAAAATACATATAGAACTTAAGCATTGATCCCTTGTTATTTGATGTCTCTCTTAAACTCTAGTGTCGGACTCTTCCTAAGTCTATTGCTTATACCTCTACGTCTTTGAATTTTACCCATTCATCGTATAAGTTAAATACTAATCAAATACTATTGTTTGATGTATTGGTTGGAGATATGTTTATAGCAAGCTGAGTCTAGTATAATAGGAGGTACTCTCTTTTCTGCTACAAATCCATAACCCCGAAGCACTTAAAAACATTATTCACTTCCTTGGATTGCATTTCTCTTATTGTTTTGGAGTAGAATTTGTGATATAACTCAGTGCATCTTCTGTATATTTGCGTTGTAAGCTGGGACTTTGGAATGTTACCTGTGCCCGTACGAAGTAGAGCTCATGCTAAAAATATATAGCGTTGCGCTAAGAAGGCGGCAACCCCACATATAAGCTTCATCGCTTTATCTCCAATCCCCGCGAGGCAGTTGCTTATTGCCGGACCTTTGCATCATATTATTGAAGCTCCGAGATTCAACTTAAATAGCGGTTGGGTTTCTCACATCTTACCATGTTCTAGCCCCTGCGAACAATGCGAATTTCGCGACAATGGCATATATAGCGCCTATTCACCGGCCTAACAGTGTGCGACACGCACTGCGTGTCAACCTGTTTCCTGGTGAGGATGAGTGCTTGATTCTTGCGTGGGTCTGCCTAAGCAAATAGACAGTACACTGGCAATGTGAAAGCTGACTTTTACCAGCAAAACTAATCGTCTAGAAATATGGAAGCTCCATGAGTCCGGCACCTTGGTGCACACCGACACGAGGCGAGTCAACGGTACCATCTCCATACTACAGAAGCTCCAACCTCGAGATACCAAGACTGAGTTGGTCTTTGTTGGAACTGATAGATTTCATTACTTCACCTTCGGATGGAATACTACGACTAAAAGATTAGAAACGGTAGACTCGTTCTTCGACATCCATGAGAAGCACATGCGTGATGCCCAGAGCCAGGATATGTGCGTAGTGGACCCGACAGGGCGGTTTATGGTAGTCTTCCTTTGGGAAGGAGTAATTAATGTGTTACGAATGCACACTGTAAAGAGCAAGAGGCAGAACCTTCACTGGATGGATCAGGTCCGGGTATCAGAGCTTTACATCAAGGGCGCAACCTTCCTACATGTTGAGACTGGCCACCCAAAGATTGCATTCCTCTATCAAACCCGAACCGACATCCCCGACTCTCAGCTCGTCACATATCGCCTGACAGCTGACGACAAGAACACAGAGGTTTCTAGATTCGAAGTCCGAGATCAGGTTGATCGTATAGATATCCCAGATCCTGGCGCGAGAATCTTGATCCCAGTTGGTAAAGGCGAAGAGGACCAAAAGCGCTACATAATACGAAACGCCTCTACCGCGCGGGCTCAACTAGGCGGGCTAATTGTTGTTGGCGAGACCAGGCTACTATATTACGATGATGCCGCAAAGAAGAAGGTTGAGACTCCATTGAAGGAATCTTCCATCTTCGTAGCTTGGACCGAATACGATGTTTCACACTACTTAATCGGAGACGACTATGGAGCCATGTGGCTTCTTGAGATTCTACTCGACGGGCCTGTAGTAACCGGTTTAGAAATGACTAAGATCGGAGAGACTTCGAGGGCAAACACCCTCGTCTACGTGGGGGATAATGTCTTGTTTGTCGGATCTCAATACGGTGACTCGCAAGTTTTCCATGTCGACCTCGAAGCGAAGTCGCTACGTTTAATCCAGACTTTGAACAATATTGCTCCGATTTTGGACCTCAATATTATGGATTTGGGAAATCGCGAAGGAGAGGGACAGACTACTAATGAATACTCCTCTGGTCAAGCAAGGATTGTTACCGGTAGCGGCGCTCACAAGGATGGTAGCTTACGTAGTGTACGAAGTGGCGTCGGGTTGGATGACATCGGTGTTCTTTCCGATATGGAAAACGTTCGATCATTATTTCCCCTTAAATCCCACGGGGCGTCCAAGACCGATACCTTGGTCGTTTCTTTCTTGACGGAAACTCGAATATTCAAGTTTACGCCTGGTGCCGAGGTTGAAGAACTAGACGAATTCGGAGGAATGATATTTAACGAGCAGACGCTGCTGGCCCGAAATCTCCCAAATGGTCGAATACTCCAGGTCACTACGACCAGCGCACTGCTTGTGAATTTGGAGAGTGGCGTCGTTGTATCGACGTGGAAACCCGCTGAAGGGCACATAACAAACGTATCAGCAAGTGACGAATGGATTCTACTCTCCGTTAACGGGTCGGCTCTTTTATCCATACAAATAGAACAAGACCTGGTCCGAGTCGAGTATAATGATCTGGAAGATAAAGACCAAGTTGCCTGTGTACACCTGCCTCCGGACTATCCTTCCATTGGCGTTGTCGGCTTCTGGAAATCGGGCACGATATCCATTATTGATCTAAAGACACTACAGTCTATCCACGGAGAGAACTTGCGGCGAAAAGATAACAACGCTTCTATACCGCGGGGCATCGTGCTCGCGCAAGTTCTTCCTCCCCACCTAGCTGGGCCAACGTTGTTCATAGCTATGGAGGATGGCTTTGTTATCACTTTCAACGTATCCAAGGCGGACTTTTCTCTATCTGGGCGGAAGAGTGTTGTTTTAGGGACACGACAAGCTGGATTGCAACTGATCCCTCGGTCCGAGGGAATCTACAACGTATTCGCCACGAGCGAGCATCCCAGTATGATTTATGCGGCCGAAGGTAGAATAGTCTATTCAGCAGTCACGGCTGATGATGCAACCTGTGTGTGTCCATTCGATACCGAAGCCTTTCCAGATTCCATTGTTGTTGCAACAGAAAAAGAAATCAAAATATCACAAATAGACACGGGACGCCAAACACACGTGCAGACACTACCAATGGGAGAAACTATTCGTCGCATAGCCTATTCTCGTAGCGAGCGGGCCTTTGGTCTGGGCTGTTTGAAAAGGGAGGTTAAGAACAATGCGGAGATTCTCACTAGCTCGTTTAAGTTGGTAGATGAAGTTGCTTTCAAGCAGCTCGGAAGTGGTATTCTTTTAAGCAGTTCGACACGGGTAGAAGCAGTGGAGGCTGTCATTCGAGCGGAGCTTCCTGACTCGTATGGGAATCTAGTTGAAAGATTTTTGGTTGGCACTTCATTTCTCGACAGACCGCAAGGTACCTCACCAGAAGACTTTATCAGAGGCAGAATCTTAGTTATCGGGGTTGACAGTGAAAGGGTTCCCTACCTAATCAGCAGCAAAGACTTGAAAGGTGCTTGTAGGTGTCTAGCTGTCATGGGGGACATGGTTGTTGCGGCCTTAGCAAAGACGGTTGTCTTGTACTCATACGATGAGATATCTTCAACGTCTGTAGAGTTGAGGAAAGTAGCATCATATCGACCAGCTGCTTATCCTGTTGACTTGGCAATCGAGGGCAACACCATCGCGGTCGCTGACCTGATGAAATCAATGACGCTAGTTGAGTATGTCCCACCTGTTGATGGCCAAGCGGCCAAGCTTGTGGAAGTCTCAAGACATTACCAGGCTGTCTGGGCCACCGCTGTGTGCCATGTAGACCAGGAATCATGGCTAGAGTCGGACGCGCAGGGCAACCTACTGGTACTAAGGCGAAACCTGGCCGGTGTCACAATAGAAGACAAGCGCCGCATGGAAATCACGAGTGAGATCAACCTCGGCGAAATGGTGAATAAGATCCGAAAAGTCGTAGTAGATGCTAGCGAGAATGCTGTCGTCATCCCGCGCGCATTCCTCGGCACAGTGAGTTGTCTTATGGTCTTTTACAGACAGAGGATTGTTGCTAACAAATAGAATCACAGGTTGAAGGGGGCGTCTACCTGTTCGGAACTATTGCATCGGAGTACCAGGATCTGCTGATCCGATTCCAGAACAGGCTTGCAGAGGTCGTAGAGACTACGGGTAACATACTCTTCTCCAGATACCGATCTTTCAGGAACGAGGAGCGGGAGTCGGACGGGCCGTTCCGCTTCATAGACGGAGAGTTCCTTGAGCGGTTCTTGGACATTGACGAGAAGGTACAGGAGGAGGTATGTGCAGGATTAGGTCCTGACGTCGAAGCTATGCGAAATCTTGTCGAGGAGTTAAAACGAATTCACTAAGAGATAGGCTCTTGTCTACATGTATCAGGCTGACATGTATGTTCAGTTTAGAGGGGATGGTTGGTGTACTTGTGGATTGAAGGGTCTTGCAGGCTAGGCGTTATGCAAAGATGACTGGCACGACTTTGCGATATCTGAGCTCTTACTTTACATCTAGTACAAGACATGAGGATAATGATGATATTGCAAAAACGACGCTGTATTGCTAATAAGTAATTATATCTTATATTGTGACACCCCCACCCCCCTCAGCTGGAAGCTGCTTTTATCTAACCCCTTCTTGGATCCAACAGGTCTGGAGAGCCTCAACAATACCTGGCTCACTTGATACACTAGTAATAATAGCCCGATTTCTATGACGAGTAGGTTTGGTGGATCACTTTCAAGAAGTGAGCAAGTGTGTGATTGTTTTGCCTGTTGCAGGTGGCTTTTGTGTTTTGAAGGATCTCGGCTTTTACATGAATCTTGAGCCAAGTCCAAATATTTATGTAGTTCCTTTTTGCATTCTCATAGATATAAGTAGCCTCCTCGTTTAATTGAAACGGATACACAGTGGCTATTGGCGATGATTGTGTTGAGTTCTTATGTTTGAGCGCAGCTTCGTAAGGTTCTCGATCCATAGGTGCAAGAAAGTCTAGATGGTTGGCAGTGTTTTCTCTGGATACGCGTGGATCAATGTCCTTCCAGATTCCCATTCTACAAGCCTCAAATTGTAGGCCTTCGAGCCACTCATCATAGTTGTACACGTTCCTCAAGACGTCGTCCACGATCGGTCCGTCCGTGTACATAATGATGGTAGGGGGAAAGATATCAGTGAAAAGGTCAAATTGAGGATATAAATATTTTAACAGGTAGGATAAATTCAAAAATTGGTCGCAACTTGGATCTTCTGAAGTATCGGTCCCAAGGGTGAACTAGGCTTATACATAGGTGCCTACCTAGGTAACTATCGAAAAAACAACGCGGTAATTTCTAACAAACAACTACGCATTATCTTGTGACAAACGAGATGTTTCTGTTGCTACCCGTTGATATGATGTATGTAAGTAAGGTGAATAAGTACCCAAGTACCCCGCTGCGGGTTTGCATCTATCGACGTCACTTACGTACATGTATAAAAGACTGGTCACATGACTTCAAGTAAAGTTGACTCAGCAGATGATATCGGGCTAACCCGAAGAATTGAACCAATGAATGAACAGGAATTTCGCAGCTCTTGAATTTTTCCTGCCTGAGGCCAAATTCCGGGACGTTTCGCAGAACCACCGTTAGCTTGGGGAAACATTGCCGAAGTCTTTCGATACCGACTAAAAAAAAGACCTCAACCTTATATTTATTACGACTTTCCCTACGACTCCGACCAATTGATCCGTCCACAACGCCATGGCGCCTCTGACGATTGCGTCCCGCGCGCTCGCGCGAGGAGTAGCCAAATCTTGCAGCCGTGTAAATGCCGCCCGCGCCCTCAGCACTACTACCCAGCTCAACGATGCCGCCGGCTCTTACTCCAGCCCGTTCAAGGGCGAGCCCAAGTCTACCAAGATCCCCGACTTCAGCCACTATATGGCCAAGAGCAGCTACAATACGAATCTGCTCTTCCAGTACTTCATGGTCGGGACTATGGGTGCTATTACTGCTGCTGGGGCTAAGTCTACTGTGCAAGGTACGTTGCGCGCCCGTTACTCCGTAGCTCCGTCATTCCGAGTGTTGGTTTTGGTTATGGTTATGGTTATGGTTATGGTTATAGATAGCTATGGTCTAGTTGCAATTCTATATAATATTAACCTCGCCTCGATATAGAATTCCTAAAGAACATGTCCGCATCCGCCGACGTCTTGGCCATGGCCAAGGTCGAGGTCGACCTCAACGCCATCCCCGAGGGCAAGAACGTCATCATCAAGTGGAGAGGAAAGCCCGTGTTCATCCGACACCGTACCGAAGAGGAGATCAACGAGGCGAAATCGGTCGACATTAAAACGCTGCGTGATCCCCAGGCCGATGAGGACCGTGTCCAGAAGCCTGAGTGGCTAGTCATGTTGGGTACGGCTGTCTTTTATTTTCAACTATGTTATACGTCGACGACTTGATACTCTAGTTATCAAGTCTAGGTATCTATGGATATGTATGGCTAACAATTGGTTATTATAGGCGTCTGCACGCATCTAGGTTGTGTGCCCATCGGCGAGGCGGGAGACTACGGCGGGTGGTTCTGCCCGTGCCACGGATCGCACTACGACATCTCGGGACGTATAAGGAAAGGACCGGCGCCGCTCAACCTCGAGATCCCCTCGTACGAGTTCCCCGAGGAGGACAAGTTGATTATCGGTTAAAGCGAGCTTGCACTGTACAATTATCAATTACCTAGACTGGCGGCGGGTAGTGCCTCATTTGATAGACGTAATGGGAAGATCGTTTTGAGGTTCGTCGTGGCATTCTTCAGAAGTTTCCCAGGCGTGGCTGTAGCCAAGGCCAATCTGTACAAACAATTCGAAACTTTGTTGAGATTAAAAAAGCATCATCACTTCTAAGACTACTTGTGTCTGTTTATACCGTTTATGCTTGAGCGAATGGTTGAGACGTCTTAACTCTTACAGCTGGCTTGCCATAGCACCACATTATAAGCAAACTTAGCCTACGCTTATGGAGAAATGGAAAAATCGGTATGATAATTGCTTAAGAGGGATCTTAACGAGGACTCGGAATTGTTCACACTATATATGATATAATATTGTGGTTAGAGTTGAGTCTTATGTTTGAGCCCGACTCCAAGAAGCCCTTTAAAGACAGTTGGATGTAAATATCGAAGTGGATTACTATAAGATGATTAATGCTAGATAGATAACGTAGACTGCCTACGTAAGAGCCGCAAGACCCATTCGGATGAGACACCAAGAGGCGATCAATCAATGACAACGGACCTTGTGTGCCATCCACATCCCACACATCAAAGCAACATAGGATATTTATGCGGGGATGACCCGGCGGCGGCATTGGTGAGAGATTGTGTAGGAATATATGGCCCTATGGATGGAGCCTTATTCAACATCATAAGATTTATCTAACCCCGGAGGACATCGTTGCCGGGCGGTAATCGAAGTCTTGAACTTGGCGCTGTCACAGGAGGGATACTGCTTTGACGTAATTGCGTGGAATGTCAGAATATTGACATGTTTGTAAAATGCTAAAAAGTATGAGACATAATATCTGGACATTACTCTTAGGTGTTAAGTTACCAATCTAATGAGTCTTTAAACCAGCTACAGACCCTTCAAGAGGGTTCCCCCTATAAATTTCCATCTTTAATTACTCAATTATTAGTACATAATCTAACACCAGTCGACCTCGTATCGCTTTTTTAATGAATTAGGAAGCGGTTTGGCACTTTGGAGATCCATGTACAAATATGGACAAGTTAAACCCCCTTGTCCTAGGTCCTTGATAACCACACGATATCTAGGATATGAGAACAGACGTATTTACATTCGTATGAGCAAAGCAGCTCAGAATCGCATTTGTTGATTTTCCAGACGCTGAGGTCCGGAGCTGTGTGGAGTTGAGCCATGAGGCGATCCAAGTTGGCGCCAGGGGTTTCCCTCTCAAAGTTGTTAGCCCAACCAATCATAACCCCTGTGACCCCCGGACGCGGCTCGACCACTTCGAGACACTTCAGGTTGGATAGTCAGTCTCATCCCAACTTCCTCGGTCTCAAACCCGAAAATGAGGTGCTATCGTGTCCACTTGGTCCCCCAGCTTTGACACAGGCTTTACTGTTGTATTACCAATCGACTACCCGCAGTACCCGAGATGGGAAATTCCTCCCGTAGAAACGGATGAGCTGATGACAAGGCTATTGATCTGCTCTTGCTGACAGCCGCTTCGCAATTGTGTATGTAGTGTATCGCGAACGGCTCGCCGGCCCTGGATCCCAGCATACCTAGTGTAGATAATGCCATCCTATCCTGGGTCTGATCTCTTGCGTGCAAATGCCATATGCAAAGCATTTCGTCCTAACCTTGGCAGCTCATTCCCTCCGGCTTCTACTCGAGCCGACGCGAGCTATCCTAGCCGCCTATTCTAGATTGTGACCATGGCGTTTCTTCTCCAGTCCAACATCTCATCTTGGGACGATTAGATCTATGGGGCCAGGGCCGATATACCCTCTTCTGGTGAGACAGTTACCTAGTTTGGACGGTTCTTGGCGACGGGAGAAAAACCCGCCCGACATGCCATGCTAGAGCTTCACCAAGGGGCGTATACCTTAGCCAGGGGCCATGCTTGGCGTCTACGATACGACTTCGAATATTTTATGTTATTACCTAGGTATATAGGGACATGGCTGTCCTATACGGTACAGACGTTTCTTCTTCTCTTCTTTTCTTATTCATCCAACGACAGCACCGCTTTCTGACCCTGTTACATTCTTTCTAGTTCTGGGAACTATTCTTTTTTATTTTTCGATTTATTCCAACGTTCTTTACTTTACGCTTCGGCATAATATTCTTACCAGGCAGGGCCTTTTTTATAGACTTTACGAATCTCTGTAGTTACGAACAATCGTTAATACCCCAAATCCGACAATATGAAGGTTGAAACTAGTGCTGCTTTATTCGCTCTCTTGAGTGTGGCATCTGCCCGCCCTGATGCCGTGAAGATATTCAGGAAGACCCACACTCCTATTGGCGCATCTGCCAAGTTCAGGCGTGAGGTTCCTCGTAAGTTTCCTGGTCGATGAGCATTGAGCATGCGGGAGGACAAGACTAACACAATTACAGAGGAGCATTCCCACGAGAAGTTCCTTAAGGGTGTTGGCCTGGCCTTGAACTTGAACAATGTTGACCAGGTCCAAGACCCTGTATTTGCTCTACTTGGAAACAAGGCCGCCGCTCAGGGTGCTGGCCAGGTTCAGGACTTGGACTGCCTCCAACAGCGAGTTGCCGACCAGGCTTTCACCAACGCCAAGGCTGCCAACGACGTCGAGGGCATGACTAACGCGCTGATCTTCCGTGCTCTTGAAAGGAACACTGGCTCAGTCGGTCTGGCCTCCGTTCTGTGCACCGAAACCGCAAAGAACCCTGAGATTGCTGCTATCCAGCAGCATCAGGACCCCGCCTCTTCAGGCGCTGCTGCTCTAAACAAGCAGATCACCCTCGACCTAGCTGTCCAGCTTGCCTCTATCGGCGCTGATCCCCAGCTCGCTCTCCAGTCGGGAACCTTTGCTCCCGGTCAGGCCGGAGATCAGACCGGTGCTGGTAACACTTGCGACGTCGCGGACGACGCTGAGGGTTGTATCTTTACCCAGAACCTCCTTGTCGAGGATGCTACTGCAGCTGAGATCGATGCTGCCGTCGCTGCGGGTGGTGGCAACGCCAACGCTGGTAACAACAATGCTAATGCTGGCAACGCCGCTGACGATGCCGCTGATGATGGTGAGTAGAACTTTGCTTGGGACATCGAGTATTAGAGCTAGTACTAATAGGAATAAATAGGATGTGAGGCTGATGACGGCACCGCCGATAATTCTAACAATGCCGACGATTCCGCAGATGATGGTGAGTGAAATTCTGCTTGATACTTGGGACATGGAGTATTAGAGCTAGGACTAATGAGGATATATAGGATGCGAGGCTGATGATACTTCAAACAATGATGCCAGCAACAACAACAACAGCAGCAACGGAGGTACCGCTACAGCCGGTGTCAACGTCAACGCCTTCACCGGCACCGTCGGCTCCGCCCCCGTCCCCGTAATCAGCTCCACAGCCGACAAGCCCTTCTCCGTCAACGGCAACGACTTCCTCAACCTAGGCGCCGCCATCCAGCGCGCCTGCGACGTGCAAAAGAACGCGTGCGCCAACGCGGCCAACGGCGGCGACAAGACCATCAGCGTAGCCGACTGCGACGCCCAGCAGCAGCAGTGCGTGGCCCAGAACGGCAAGAAGCGCCGCCAGTCCGTCGACACGGGATCCTGCGGATCCCCCGCCATCTCCTTCGGACAGCAGCAAGACCGCGGCGACGAGGATGCGTTCGCGCCGGTCAACAGCGCCGACTTCAACCACGGGTCCGCTCTCAAGCCCGCTGTTATCACGGGCTTCATCTGCAGCCAGCTCCAGAGCAAGTGTGGCGCTTCGGCCGCGACTGTTGCCCAGTGTCAGGAGGGTGCGCAGGCGGCGGATTCGTTAAGCGGACAGGCTGCTGCTGATGCGTTTAATGCTGCGTTGGGTGCTTAAGAGGATTGGGGACGATGAAGAGAGAGAGGAGAGTCTGTTTTTGGTAATATAGGGGGTTTTATGATGGGTCATATATATGAGGATGAGCGCTTTCAATTCAATGTGATGTCTGTTTCGTGATGAATATTTTGGAATTTGGATGTGGTATGTGATATGTGATATGTGAGGAGTGAATGATGTGTGAAATGTTGAAATCTTTACTTCTATGAGTTGCTCAATGCTCAGTAAGAGTGATTACATTTACTCTTCTATAAAATACTTCCCTGTGTTACTCAGACTTATAAAGAATGAGGCTATTCGGATATCCGATTAGAGTTAATTCTACATTAAGTTCAAGTTCAGCCCCTTTTCACCACCAAGTTAGGTCGGCGCAATGATGGCCCGGTAATTTGTCACGACCCATGTGGGCATCGTATGCTAGTCGAATCACAGCTTATAAGACCAGGACTAGGGGTGATATCATTGCCTGATATGAAAGCTGTCAATTGGGGGTGATGATTGGCTGATACTGGCTCGAATATCTTATCCGTTAATCCTCATGACTCCTTAACTAACATCTGAGTGATATCTTATAAGACGAGCTTAGCTTATATATTTCTCAAATTTCATGAAATCACACCGGTGCTAATTCTGAGAATATCTCATCTCCATTCCGTGACAGGCATGCCCGAATTCGAATTCGTGAACGTGGCTCGTCCCGGCGACGTAAAACGCCACTCCACTAAGATCCGCCGTCATGTCATGAAAGATATCGGCAAGGCTCGTCGGAAACCGCGGGCAAAGACGCGAAGAGAAGTGGTCATTGGAGAGAATAGTCCTCCCGCTGTTACGGACGGGGATACGTCGCAGAGGGGCAGCTCATCTACAACTTTAGTTCTCCCAAATCCAAGGGGGGACAGTATATTACAGACGCTGCCGTATCCAATCGATATGAACGAGGAACGGTTAAGTCTCATTCGATTTAGTAAATAAAGAATCCATAAAAAGCCACGGGAATCTTCAAGTCTAATAATAATATCAGTTGTCGACGAAGCAAGATCTCATTATAGACCATTTCGGTTTACATGGCTGACGATGGGATTGTCGGATGCGGCCGCTTGGCATATTACTCTTGCGAATGCAGCCTCATATCGTACTGCCAGTACGCTACCGCCGGGGTCTACAGCTGAGTATAGCTGCAGCGTCGAGGCTATGAAGTGGTATACGCTGTCGCTGGCGTCCATTACTAAGAGGCTTGCGGACCCTAACGAGAAAGACAAGGAGGGGCTTATAGTTGCTATTACTGGATTTATATGCCACGACGTATGTAATATTCATACAAATTCACTTTCCAACTCTAATAACTATATGGAGCCATGCTAAAAGAGATTCCAGGCTACAATAGGTAACTTCAATCGCCTTAGTATTCATATGGAAGGCCTTCAGCGTATCATCAATAAAAAAGGCGGCTTGGATACTCTAAGCAGTCCCTTCCTGCGATTTATGATATCCTGGTAAATTCTCTACCTACTTCAAAATAACCCTAACCACCAAGTCTATCACCTAACTAACACAACACAGGCTCGATCTAATCGGAGCAACATACTGCAACATCAAGCCACGTTTCAGCATCCCAGAAGGTTCCATCCGAGAAATCGACACCGGCAACGACTCCCAATACCTAGACCAACTCCTCAGCTCCTGGGACGCGGACTGTCCCGCCCTAGGCGACATCATGAGCGCCATGAAAGCAACCGCCGCCGTCGCCAGCTACATCAACCACCGGCCCGCGGGCGACGGGTTCTGGACCGACGACGTGGCCATCGCGCGGCTGCTAGGCCCTGCTTTCCACGAGATCCTATCGCTGGAAGGCCGCGCCCTGCCCCACGACACCTCGGACCCAAAGTACTCGGCGACCGCGGCCCGGGAAGCCTTCCGGCGGGCGGCGCTGGTGCTCCTCGCCGCGGTGAAGGTGAAGATGGGCGCGGGCGCGCTCGAAATGGACAGGCATCTAGATGCGTTCAGGCAGATATCGCAGCTGCCGCTGGTCGATTGGGGCGTGGTGCCGGAGTTGAATCTCTGGGCTCATATTATTAGCGCGATGCAGGAGGAGAGTCCGAGTCGGGCCTGGCATATCTTGACTATTGTGGGCATTATGGAGACTATGGGATTGCGGACTGGCGGCCAGGCTGTTGGTATTGCGCGGGGGGTTATTTGGGTGGATGCGATTGATGTAGGGAAGTCGGATTTGCTGTGTCGGGAGATTGATGGGTATTTGGAAGCTAGTATGTTGCGAGGGCTGGGGGATGTGCCTTTGGATTCCCGGCTTGAAGATTTTTCTGGAGATGTTGAGAGTTAAGAGTTGAGAGGAGGACTTCGAATACTACCTATCGAGTTTTGCAAGCTATTCAGATGGGAGAAATAACGAAATAGCTTATGTGAGAATACCCCTATACAGCTGATATTAAATATTGGTAGGTAGGTAGACATAATACCCCTTTTCGCTTTACCTACATCACTCTCAGGCCCTGTCTAGCCCGGCTTAAACCAAAAAGACCTTCCCCTTTTTAACATACATATCATGCAAGTTAAACCTCACCTACTCCCCGTGATCCCGGCATCAGCAGCAATAAACTGCCCCGTCACCCACCGACTCCCTTCCGACGCAAGCAGCAGCACCACATCAGCAATATCCCCCGGCATACCGCGGCGTTCCGCGCCTCGCTGCAGCAGGACCATCGGGTCGATGACTTCAGGCGAATCCTTGGCCATGTCAGTTACCACGGGGCCCGGGGCGACCGTGTTCACCGTGATGCCGTGGGTGCGACCGAGCTATCGAGCTTTAGCTTGTATCCAGGAACAACATAACCTTTAGCATGACACATGTTGGAACTTTACCTCTCCAGCCCACGACGTAGTCAGGCTGTCCTGCGCCGCTTTGGAAGCCGCGTACAGCCCGACTTGCGCCGGGTGCGTCTTCGACGCTATGCTCCCGATGTTGATGATCCGGCCGCCCGGCGGCATACGGCCCTGGTCGACGACCGCTTGGGTCATGAATAGCTGGCCGTATACGTTGGTTGCGAAGGTGCGCTGGCATAGATCGAAGTCGGTTTCCCGCAGGAGGCGGGTTACGCCGTAGCCTGCGTTGTTGACTAGGGAGTATTTGCGTTAATGCGGGTATCTTATAGTTCTAGCGGGGGGACTCTTTGTTGTATAGTAGATATATATATATATATATATATATATAGTTGGGGATATTACGGTTACGTGAGACTTCATACCAAGGATGTCGATGTGGTTTACCCCGAGCTTTCCTAGTGCTCCGGCAACGATCGCCCGGGACCCTTTTGGCGTGGATATGTCTCCTTGTACACATGCCACGTCGACCCCGTACTCGTCCCGGATCGACTGGGCTATCTCGTATGCCCCCTGAGCCGAACTCTCGGAGACGTAGTGGATAGCCACGGAAGCGCCATTGCGGGCTAATGCCCTGGCGGTCGCTGCTCCAATCCCGTTCTCGCGGCCGCTACCAGTAACGATGGCGATCTTGCCAGCGAGTGAGAAGGAATCGGCTGTTGTGTCCACAGCTGGCCTATTCATAAGACTCGGCATGTTGAAGACGATATAGACGAATGTTTATTTCTTGAGTAACTAGATATGTGTATGACAGCAAAGATACCAGTGAAGTTACAACTGACCCCATCGTCCGACACGACGTCTTCTTATGCCATCGCCCATCGCCCATCTCATCGGTCATACACAACTATGTCGGAAGTGGCGTGTTCAATAGGATCCCTACTATCCCAATGAAGAATAACAACCGCGGAGGGTTCGCCGTGGACAAATCGGAAGGGATACCCATCAATATATCTTAACATCGGTGTAGCTAGCTTAACTCTCGATAACCACGTCTACGGAGTTCTCTAAAACCACTGCCAATCAGACGTTGACGGAAAGCTTAGTATCAGCCACGCTGCGGAGTGGTGTAAGCTTGCCAGGCCAATTGGACTTAAAAGGGGGTTTCAATGACGCCTTGTGTAACCTCGGGAGTTATCACCTTGTGCTACTCTACATACCTCTTACCCTGGCACTGGCCAGTAAGCGCCGATGTACTCGAGCTAGGTATTCTTCAGGACTATCTTCCTGCAAACGATATATCTTCTTGTGAGATGTGATATTCTTTAGCAAGTGCCAATCTTACATCCCACCCTAACAATACATCACCATCTGACGATGTAGAGAACAACCGAAATCTCGGTTGCCCGTATAGATTCAACCTTACAAGTTGTATTATACATGCTCGCTCACAGTTGGGATTATAGCTTAGGTATGCTATGAGGATCTAGCGGTAGTTACCGATACATGATTCGGATGAGATGTGACAGTGGCTTAGATCGGAAGTCTAGAAGCTCAGTCACATCCAAAAATCTAGACCTCTGATTCTTTTTTCTTTTTTTCTTCTTGCTTTTTAGAGGGCAGCCACGTTACCCCCGATTAAACGGAAAGATGCCAAGTGTACATGTCCGGCCAATAGCATTTTATCATTCCTAAAGCAGAGCTACCATACTCTATAACTTGAGAGCGCACGTCGCTGCTACATGTGATATCTTAACCGCGCCTACCTAACCGACTCCGCGTAAATCTCCGTCATGAGATATAAGGATTTCTTTTCGCAATTAATTGCTTAGTAGCTTCGTCCAAACATGACAAACTTCTCAGCCAGCCGTTCACACTCTGGGTTCAAACACTTGGTCTCCCCATGGACTAAGCCTTCTGGCTGTTCGAAAGGAATACACAAGCTCTTCATTCCCATCGACGGAGCCTTCTGTGCTTCTGGGGTGTTAGGGTCTTCATCAGTGCGGCCGGTCGTAAGTTCCTTAATTTTGTCCTCGCATTTGCCGTCGAGGCAGAAGGGGATGATCACCACGTTCTTGGCATCCAGAGCAGGGAGGACGTCATCCCACTTCTTGACGATAACACGGTGCTCTCTGTAAGCCTTCTCTGCCTTGTTGTACATATCGCTCTGGATGGTTTCAAGGAGTTCGGGGACCTTCGTAGCAAGCTCAGTAAGAGGAATGGTACCTTTCTCGCCGGTATCTCGGCGAGCGAAGCTGACAACCTCCTTGGCCGCATCCTTTGGCCCGAATTCTAGACGGAGAGGGACACCTTTTAGTTCCCAGTCGTTAAACTTCCAAGCCGGGGTGTATCCTTCTCTCGTATCGACCTCAACGCGCACACCTGCCGTCTTGAGGGTCTGCTTGATTTCGGCGAGTTTATCGCTGTGCTTGGCCCTGTCCTCAGGAGTAGTGCTCTTGGTGATACCGACAGGGATCAGAACTGTCTGGATCTTGGCAATTCGCGGAGGGAGGACCAGGCCTTTGTCATCACCGTGAATCATGACCATCACGCCAATAACTCGGGTTGATAGACCCCACGAGTTCTGCCAAACATTGATGTGCTTTCCCTTCTCGTTCGGGTCTTCAACGGTGATGTCAAACATCTTGCTAAAGTTTTGACCAAGACAATGCGAGGTGGCGCCCTGGATGCCTCGTCCGTTGGAAGGGATATAGCCCTCTACCGTAGTCGTGTAGTACCCACCGGCGAATTTCTCATTCTCGGTCTTTCGGCCTCGCACGACAGGGACTGCCAAGAGCTGTTCATATATGGAAGCGTAGAGCTCTAGGATCTGTAAGACCTCCTCGCCGGCAAGCTCTTCGGTCAAGTGCGCGGTGTGGCCCTCTTGCCACAAAAATTCTCGTGCTCTTAAGAAAGGGGTGGTTTGCTTCGCTTCCCATCGTACGACCGAATTCCATTGGTTCAATCTAAAAGGAAGATCTCTGTGACTACGAATCCATTTTGCATAGTAAGGGTACATGACTGCTTCGGAGGTAGGGCGAACTGCGACTGGAACCTCGAGGTTCTTATCACCACTATGTGACGACCTAGAATTAGCTGCTATCCGACATAGGCCGCGCCCGTGATATTAATATTCTGACTCACGCTTTTGTTACCCATGCGAGTTCAGGGGCGAAACCTTCGACATGGCTCTTCTCCTTCTCTAGCGACTTCTGGGATAAGAACATGGGGAAGTTGGTCTCGTCAACACCTAAAGCCTCGATGTTCTCCGTAAACCATTTGCGAATGACGTTCCAGATATACATAGTTGCAGGACGCATAATGTAGAAACCCGAAATTTCGGTATAGTACTCGACCATCTCGGCCTTGAGCACGACCTCTTGATACCATTGCGCGAAGTTGTCCGCCTTGGAGGTAGTAATTCCAATGATATCGTCTACCTTCTTTCCACCCGAGCCGACAACTGGAAGAGTAGCTTGCTTTGCTGCCTTTGCAGCTTTCTCGGCAGCTTTCTTAGCCTCCTTTTCGGCCTTTTTAAGGGCGCTCTTGGATTGCTCGACTGGCTTGTTCTCCATGTTTATCGTCTCCTGGTTTACTACTCGATGATACGGCGAAAAGGTTCTCTCGAAATAGTTAACTAAATTAAAAAAGAGGATGAAGGTATTACCACAAAATAAAATTAATGTGACAAGTTTAAGAACGGCGGATATTTGAGTCACACCGGAGCGATATAGATGTGAAGGTGCCACCTGGATAAAAATAAAACAGTGTACCTCGTACCTCTATGTTGGTAGTAATAAACGCGAACTGGGAAATTTCAATAGTGCCCCGCGATTTCCCTCTCCCAATAGAGGGGTCCGAGGGGTCCAAAGATTTTGGAGGGGCCTGAGGGGCTGATAAGAGAAAAAGGGACCGTGCGTTTATTATCGGACTAGGAATAACCATTACTTCCGCAAAAAAGTTCCAAGTGCAAGTGGGTGTGGGTGCTAAGCTGGAAGCTTCACCTAACAAAATATCGAAGCAGCCTGGCAGCTCCGATTATACCAAATTCCCCTCTTTTCCCAACTACACTGGAAGTTGTCTGTTATTTATAATTACCTAAGTATAACAAGATTCCTAAAAGATGGCTTCCATGTTTCAGCAGCCTTCGAATGGGACTCTGTTCCTCGGCGGCCAGAAGATTTCCGGTGCAGATATCAGGGATCAGAATGGTAAGTAGCTCCCTACTCCTTAAAGTTGCTCTTAATATTGTTATACACAGCTAACTAAGTCACATAGTTCTTGCTACTCAATCCATAGCGAACGTTGTCAAGAGCTCTTTTGGACCTAGCGGTCTAGATAAGATGATGGTGGATGATATTGGAGTACGTAAATCATAGTCCTAAATGTGGGTGCTTCATAACTGACTATATATTATAGGATGTCACAGTAACCAACGACGGCGCGACCATCCTAAGCTTACTAGATGTCGAACACCCCGCTGGAAAGATCCTCGTCGACTTAGCGCATCAGCAGGATAAAGAAGTCGGTGATGGTACAACTTCGGTAGTGCTTATCGCCGCTGAACTCCTACGCCGAGCAAACGAGCTCGTGAGGAACCGAATACACCCAACCACTATCATCACAGGTTACAGACTTGCTTTGAGAGAGGCTATCAAATACATGAATGAGAATGTCAGCACTAAAGTGGAACACCTCGGCCGCGAATCGCTAATCAGCATCGCCAAGACGTCAATGTCCAGCAAGATTATCGGCGCCGACTCTGACTTCTTTGCCAACATGGTTGTTGATGCTCTCCAAGCAGTTAAGACGACAAATAACCGTGGCGAGGTGAAATATCCCGTCAAGGCGGTCAACATCCTAAAAGCACATGGCAAGAGCGTTTTAGAATCTGTCTTAGTCAAGGGATATGCTCTGAACTGTACCGTTGCATCGCAGGCAATGACTACGCGGGTACAGGATGCTAAGATTGCAGTACTGGATATGAACCTGCAGAAGGAGAGGATGAAGTTAGGTGTACAAATCACAGTCGATGACCCTCAACAGCTCGAACAGATCCGCGCACGAGAATCAGGAATGGTTATCGAGAGAGTGGAGATGATACTTAAGGCTGGAGCAAATGTCATTCTAACGACCAAGGGTATTGACGACATGTGTTTGAAGCTCTTCATCGAGCGTGGCGCTATGGCCGTGAGGCGATGCAAGAAGGAAGACCTGCGACGAATTGCAAAGGCTACCGGCGCGACCCTATTGAGCACACTTTCCGACCTGAACGGCGATGAGCGTTTTGAACCTTCGTACTTGGGCCACGCCGAAGAAGTTGTTCAAGAACGTATTTCAGACGATGAGTGTATCATGGTTAAGGGGACCAAAACGCACTCGTCGGCCTCTATCCTCCTTCGAGGGCCAAACGACTTCACACTTGACGAGATGGAGCGATCCGTTCACGATTCGCTTTGTGCGGTTAAGCGAACTTTAGAGAGTGGCAGCATCGTGCCCGGTGGTGGAGCGGTAGAAACCGCACTGCACATCTACCTGGAAGAGTTCGCAGGCACAGTCGGCTCAAGAGAGCAGCTAGCCATTGGAGAGTTCGCGCAGTCGCTTCTCGTTATTCCCAAGACCTTAGCTGTCAACGCCGCCAAAGATGCAAGCGAACTAGTGGCGCAATTACGGTCTCGGCACGCTCTATCGCAGAGGACACAAGATGGAGAAGCCAACGAGGACGAAAAGACGATCGCGAAAAAGAAGAATTACAAGAATTACGGTTTGGATCTGATGAAGGGAAAGGTGGTCGACGAGATTAAGGCTGGCGTATTAGAACCCAGTATGAGCAAGGTTCGACAGCTAAAGAGTGCGGTGGAGGCGTGTATCAGCATAATGAGAATCGATACCCTGATCAAGCTGGATCCGGAAGAGAGGGGGGAGCCGGATGATGGCCATGGACACTGAGAGAAAATAAAGGAAAACATGGTGGGCGTGAGGCGTTCCTAATAGGAAGACGGTTTAAGACACAAGTTTAATTCTACAACCCAAATTCCGGATCCGAGGCAATCAACTCGTCCACTTACATTAGCGTCCAGTGGCATTCCAGTACGTGCACCATGCAGTGTGATGATGGAGATGTATAATATGTATGTAGTAACCAAGGTCAGCAGAGCTTATTCGCATGTAAGTCGACCTATAAGTCCCACCTGTACACCTAAATTCGAGGCGGGTTGCATCGGCATGATGCCCCACAACGTTCGCGGTATAGCCGAGACCCACCTGCCTTAAGCCCCATCCCGCTCAGCTTATTATAGTCCGCCTTTTGTAGTAATCGTAGACTCGCCAATTTAGTTTAACCCATTGTCGTGGACCTTCTTATAAAAGGTATGTATTTCATATGTCTCTTCTACTAAAATCACTTCACTATTACCTTCTCGAGACCGTGAAAAAGATAGGCATAATGCCGATATCTAAATTATTACCGTTTTTGACCAAGTGGTCCGCCGAACCCCGGTCCGAGATCGAGAGCCGGAGCGGCTCAAGTTAGCTAAGAAGACCGGCATGCTCACCGGCCTTTCTCGAATCTCTGCATTTCTGCATTTTGTTACATAAAATCTATAGAGCCTTGGCCTATGTAGTACTAGGCTATGATGACCCCCCTTTTCTTCTTATACCCGTGGACCGTGGTTCAAGGTAAATGGACTAGTCCCCCTTCGTGGGGATACATGCATGTTGACTGGTCACCAGGTTTCATCTTGGGGCCTCTATCCGCAGGGTTCATACGTCAAGGTTGTATATACAGCGAGTATATGTAGTGCTGGTGGTGCCTTACCACGTTTCCGTGGTTGTCTTTTCTTAACTGCTCTTTGTTCTTGCTCAGTAGTCTGGCGTGGGCATGTTACCTAAACATTTAAGCTTTTCTTTAAACGTCTGAGTGTTGCTAAGTCTTGCAGGGAACGTCATTACCAGGCAGGCTATATCGATTATTTTACCACCTATATCCAACGAATACTCTTGGATCCCGGAAGTTCAAATTACAACGATTACGGTCTCCGTGACGAAAGGCTTAGTTAGGTATTTATCTCGCACTACTAGGTACTTGTGCAAACAGCAGTCGATAATATGGGCTCTGCTTCTCAAGGAACTTATGTCCTCCCTGAGGCTACGGCTCCCTCGCTGGTCCTCGCACATCCAACTGATACCGAGAAACGCCGAACCTGGACTCTCAACCACAGAGAATGGGGTGGTGCTCTAACTCTCGAGGAGTACCTCAAACGAGAGCCGTACCTAACCACCATTCCCTTAACACGCGACGGCGGTATGACACACTGGATCCTCACAGACTCATCTTGGTCGGCAGATAGCGGGGGAAACCGTCCGGTTCTCGCGTCATGCGAGTCTATTAGAAAGCGTGTGTTAATTGCTTCCCCAAGCGATAACACAGTACACGATGGCGTAGGCCACGGTATCGGGTCCGTCTTCACGTATCCCGAATTCCGCGGGAACCGGTACGCAGCGCGTATGCTCAACGAGCTAGGTCCCGCGCTGAGGAAATGGCAATCTCACGGCCGTGACGCCGTGTGCTCAGCTCTTTGGTCGGATATTGGCAAGGCATACTACGCGAAAAAGGGCTGGGCCGTATTTCCCAGCCTACACGTCGAATTCCCAGTATCCACCAACCGGACTGAAGAAAGCGGGAAGGACAAAGTCTCGCCCATAACATACGATAACCTAGAACCCCTCTGCCAACGAGACGAGCAGCTCTTAAAAGAAAAGCTCCTACGCACAGCGCAAAAAACAAACCGCACAAGCGTAGCCTTCGCCCCCGACCACGATACCCTACGGTGGCATCTCTACAGGGACGACTTCATCGCCTCCATCCTCTTCAAATCAACCCCGTCGCCGCCACCACCACAAGAAACCTTCACCAGAGGCGCCCTAGCCGGTCCCGAAGGCCGCCGTGTCTGGGCCGTCTGGTCGCGGAACTACTACGGCGGCAGCAGCAGCGGCAGCGGCGCCCCGGCTGACAATGTCGATAAAAACACGCTGTACATACTGCGGCTAGTCATCGAGCCTGAATCCTCAGAAGCAGAAAACGAGGAGAATCCGAGCGAGGATATACGGGAGGCGTTTACGGCTGTGATGCAAGCTGCCCTACGAGAGGCTTCCCGCTGGCACCTGGGGAAAGTCGATTTGTGGAATCCGTCACCGACTATTAGGAAATTGATCGATAGCGGCGGATTACAGCACCGTTGGGTAGAAAGGGATGAGGATAGCATACCGAGCATGATGTGGTACGGAGACGAGGATGTCCGTAATATCGAGTGGGTTGCGAATGAGAAGTACTGCTGGTGTTGAGAAATACGATATGATACGAGACGGGAGTAGGGTCCAAAGAATGAAGAAACAGAACAGCACAATTAGAGCGAAGAGGGAGCATGCAGAGAGCTTGGGTTAGAATGAATTCATTAAATATTGGCAACGGCTATCTGGGGTATCTATAGAAACTTGCTCCGAGCAGACTTGGGACAGGGGTATCGTTATAGGGGATGGCTAGAGTTGTCTTTCCAGTCAACACGGATGTGGATAGACTAGGTAGCTTCTCGATCGTCGGCTCCCTATAACTAAGCCTGTCGGCCGGCCATGTTAGGATATAGGCAACTGCGTCCTGCTATAACCTCGGCCGTCTGATCGGAAAGGTTGAATAGAAGAAAGAAGAAGGCTCTCTAGTAGAGAATAAATTAAAATACACACACACACTCCGTCTCTCAAATCTCCTCCTTTAACGTCCAATTCGTATGCTGCAATGATGTATATCTTCCTCAACGCCAGGCCGATGTAGTAGAACTCCTAAAGGCGGAAGTGCTTGCAAAACCCTTAGGCCGTGAAAGTAAAAGAGGCTATATGCGCAACATTCAGCGGTCTCTCCTTGAATGATGTATCGAATGGGCACCTTCAACGAAGGGCAAAAGCCAAAGCAACCAGATAACGGGCGGCATACCGACTCCGAGGGAAAAAACTCAGAAAATGCGAATTTGGTATTTAAGACGTCCTTCCATGAACGAGGCTTTGTAAAGGACGAGGCGCGTTATAGCACAAGGGGGGTGGGAAGACGGTAATTATGTCTATCCGAAACGACGAAAGTTGAATCCATTTGGATTCCGTATGTTCTGATATTCATTCATTGGTCTGTAGAGAGCGGGATACTCTGCAGGCGGCTCTTGGGGCAGCCCGTTGAACATGCGTTGCTGCAGTACTTGAGGCACTGGTTGATGTATTGGTTGATATTCGGGAGCCAACGCAGGGAGCTGCGGTGCGCCTGGCTGGGGAACCGGAGGAGCGCCTGGAGGGACGAGTCTGCCGACTGGTGCTATGTCGTGAAGAGGCTGCACTGGAGGTGGCACTCCGGCTCTAAGCGCCACCAGCCGCCGTTGAAACTCTTCACGATACAGTGCTCGAAACTGCTCTGGTAGTTGTATCGGGGGCATTGGGGGTATCAAGGGTGGGTCCCCACCATCCACATTTCCCAACTGTGCCGCCATGCGTGGTAGAACATCTTGACCAACGACCTGGGGACCGCCAGCCACGGCAGCAGGTTGAGCCGGAGGGTTGATGAAGGGATGGGCCGCATGACGCTCCCGCGCAAGACGATGGAGGCGATCGATGCGATTGTTCATATTATCAAGAATATCCGCAGGAATGCCAGGAGCGCCCTGTGCCAAATTACCCTTTCTACGCTTTTGATCGTCCCGCAGGACTTGTTCTGAGATGTTGATCTTTAACGCGTCCTCGGTCTGCATAGCACGAATATTAGAGATGACCTCGGGCCAACAGATTGAAGTTGAAATGGGCCGTAACAGACTGATAATCAAGAGTAAACTATAAACCGAAGAAACAATGGGGTAGAAGAAAGGACTTACGATATTAGTGTTGTCTTTTAACATTTTCTGGCGAGCTGTCTCTTCCGCTTGCTGTACCTCTTGTTGGTGACGCTCCTCGGTCTTATCGAACAGCGGACACTGGCCATTTTTTCCGCCTCTTGAAGAATCATCGAAATGTCTGTAGTCGGTGATAGTCTGGCGACAAACATAACACTGCAATGTATGGCATTTGGTACAAGAAATCTTATTGCAGCCGTTCAACTTCAAATAAGGATTTTGGCCTGTAGCTAAGGTGTCAGTTGGATGCCTATAACTTCTTGAAAGTATGGGGTCTTTTACATTTATTGCAACGCCGGATTAATGCCGCGCTCATCGCCTCCTCAAGAACGTGTCGAGCGTCGAGACCGTGGTCAACAGCGGCCTCGGCACAAGTCTTTGGTATATGTGTCTCTTTACGGCACAGGCGACAACTGACCTTTTCACAACCCGGGTTGACGCAGGTAAACTCCTTGTCAATCTCAACAGGGGGGTATTCTGCTGCATATGGGCAGAATGGGCACGTCTCGAGGTTCTCGATGCCTGCCATACGTAACACGGCCTCCTGCTCAAGCCGCTCCAAGGCCACACGGAGCTTCTTATTAAGAAATCGCTTTTTCTGGTCTATGGAGAAACCGGCCTCGCATCCGTCCATAGACATACACGATATTTCGTATTTAGACAGGCCAATGTTTGTCTCCACCTGCGATCTCATGCAATTCCGACAAAACCAATGAACGTCCTCGCCATCGCAATGGATCATTCGGTTGAGAGGGAACTCGTCGAAACAGCAGCCGCACTCAACTACCTCGCCGATCGACTTCGCATGGGCAAAGTTTTTCTCCTCTTCTGCCTTGCGAGCAACTTCTGCGTCCTTGATGGTTTTCAAATCCCTGGCGGCGCGTAATTCGTCGATTGCTGCTTTCTGGTCGTCGTTGTACTCGCTCATGTCAAGATTCTCAATACGAACTGGTAAGAACGATACTATCGTTCTTGACGCTCGCCGCTTTTCCGTCCAAGGAGGTCTTGCGTTATCCCAGTTGCGGATGGCCTCATCCATCTTCGTATACGTCTCGAAGATAGATCCTCCATTGGCGCGCAACAGGTTCTTGATCACTGGTATCGGGACTTTTGGGAAACTGGGATATGTTAGTATTAGACCTAGAACCAGAATTTGCCCGTGATAAGAGCATATTAGTAATAAAAAGCAAGAATAGTATGGACAAGTAAATTTCGACATACTGTGACTATGTTAGCTTCTGTAGCATAAAAAGATATGGTCAAGATGTCTCGAAAAGAAGGAGGGAAGTGATTCTCTAGACGCACCTCAGAAGCTAAAAAGTTCTTTGCCATGTCTGTATAGCATGACTTCTTAACCGTAGTTACACGGTAGTCAACTTGCTCCAGCTTCTTTCTGGTCGCTGTTATGACAGCATTTTCGGCCTTTCTAGCTTCTTCGTCCTCATCGTCAGGCCCGTCCTCAACATCGCTATTGTCGTCCTCCGCTCGCTTGCGCTTCAGATCACGGGACCGAACCGGATATTTTTCGCCCTTCTCCTGTCGATCAAGAATAGCGCCAATGGTAAAATCCGAATCGTATTTATTTTCAGCGACAATCTGGTCCAGATAGGTTGGACAAATATCAGGGAACACAGATTTGACATGGTCTTTGCAGGTGTTCTGGGCTGCTAACGATGCTTCAAAGTGCTCAGGATGATCTACGAGATTTTCGAAGTCTCCAATATCTTCGTAATCTTGGAGATACTCAAGGGGATGGTCAGCAATCTCCATCACGTCTTGCAGCCCATCTTGGCTGTCTATATCGTCGTCTATATCATCATCTATTATGATGGGATTCTGTCGTCCTGCCATTTTGGCGTTGACACAGGTTTGCGACACGGGGAAGACAGGATTATGGACGACCCCAAGTCGCTTGGACTTGCGACGACGAATCCGCGCCCTTAAGCGACCGGCAAATACGGCCTTAGATAACCTTTGGCCCATACGGATTAGTGCTTGAGCAACAAGGCGGAAATGCATGGCGCGCTTGTGATGTAAAAATATAAAGACAAAGGAAAGAGCAAGCCCGAGTAAGTTTCAAGGGGGTAGTGTAGAAGGTGGGCAGTCGCAAGACGGAAAAGTAATACTCAACATTGGGCACATGTCTTAAATATCGGAGACAGAAAGAAGAGGGAAGGGGGAAGGAGGAAGGTGGAATGGGGAAAGAGTATAAACTTATTAAAACGTTTAAGCACACAGGGCTGAGATGTATGTACCTACTAAAAGGTATACATGTACCTCTTTACCTGCGCGCGGGCAGAAGAAGCAGTTGCTTACTTAAAATGGAAAGTTTGACCCAAGGTTAGATCATATGTGTATAAGTACTGTAAGGTGCTTGCAACTTAGTACTGTAATATCTAAGTAGTACCTTGAAGCGAGTGCCGATAGACTGCCGATAGTCTTGTTCAGGTAATTCAGGTAACCTTTGAGGGGCATTTGGGTATATGCGAATACAGTGTGTACCTCCCTCTGTCAAGGTTGGATTGGTAGACAAGATATAAGACTCGTCCGTGCGAAACACCAAGAACGAGAATATTAAAAGAAATAGTTGATCAAAAGAAGGTTTGTTCCAACTCGGGGTAGGATATTTCGCGCATACGCCCACAGCCACATACGTACCTAATGGACTAAGTATGTATGTTGGTTGTGGGTGATGACTCTGGGAAGTGTCCGATTGTGTCCTCGAGTGGGTAGGATTGTAGCGAAGGAAGAGACAAACAAAGTAGGTAGGCAAAATAAGTTGGGAAAATGGAGTAGCGCTACCAACAAGCCAGACAAAAATATCAGTGTATGCACTGTTCCCGGGCCGTTAACGTGGTGAGGAAGGCTCGAGTTATTATTTCCTGGGTTACTTGGGTGCCGAGTGTCAAGGGCGCCATTTCGCCAATTATGTGTGGGTGAGTGTAAGAAAACGTCACTAATCACGGTTGACGATGACTCGAATCAGGCTGCTGGCTGTCGAAAGGAAACCCCGCTCTCTGAGATGGCAGTAAATGGCAATGGCAATGGCAATAGCAATCTCAATAGAGTACTACACCTGCCATCAGAGGTAGCCAGTTCCGTACCCTTACTTCGATGATCCGATAATAGGATGATAATTCTGTAGGTAGTCTTACAGCGGTACAGCGGTACAGCAGTACAGCTGCTGCGCTTTGAGGGCGACCGGTCGCAAAACCTACACTTATCTCATTTCATTGCCATCGGAATGAAGATGGTTTAATAAGATATGTATGTTAGGTAGGTAGTTATATACAAACAAGAATTGGCCAGGTATGCGAAATGAAGGTACGTGATACCACCGAGTTTTAGTTAGATAGGGAGATAGGGAGATAGGCAGGCCAACTTAATTTGAAAATAAGTTGATAAGGTTTTTTTTTTTGCTGTGGAAGGGGGCGGACTGGGGGAATAAATTGAGGCTCTGGTAAGCAGGCTATCCTTTTGTAGCCTGGTCGAAGGTTCAGCATCTGCACAATGCTTTTCACATCATATCGCCATATCGGGAACTTTTTGCCCTGGCTTGGAGCATTGGCTACCTAGCCTAAGGTTGGTTACCTCTTTTCTATTCTAAGCCCGCTAACTTAAAACCGATGCTCGTCAGGCATATCCCAAAATAAAACACCAGTTGGTCGTTCTATTATTACATGCAGATAGCCATACAACTTAACGTTGATTTAGCCTTCATGCTAATGCTAACTTACATACAAGTCAATTCCTAAAGCGCACCTAAGTACATACATATAGTTATTCCTACATGTGGTTACATGTATGTACATACTTCTAGCCTTTCCCGAATCCTTGGACCCGATATGTGTTAGGTACCTAAGTAGCGTGGTAGTGTCGACAAGGTTTATCCTGCAAGATTGTAGATCACTTATATTTCTCCTTCTAGCACTCTTCATCGAGGACATTATTAGAACAATCTATACAGCTATTCCTTCCTTACTTATATATGTGCAGTAATTCCCTAGAGAAGCTGTCCTACTCTACGATTGCCTCGGTAGCTGCGGTCGATGAGTTCTGGAAAAACTAGCGACGGGAAGATGGAGGTATTACAAGGAGGCCATGCTTCGGCTTGTTTAAAATCCAGGGATAATACACACATTTTTGTTAACGTATTAGTAGATATTAAGTTATGTAGTTAATTGACATCGGTTATAGTAACTAACTCGGCTAGTCTCTTAGTTCTTATAGCCTCTTAATTCTTACAACAAATCTATCTTCCCCGGGCAAATCTCTCATGCCATTTGCCCTTTGCAACAGGAGGTGCTGCCACTGCTAGTTCTGGGGCAAGCTCGATTGTATCGTGGATTGTTGCGATAGCATTTAGGCTTGCTCTCGGTACCTCTGAAGACGAAGGGGTTGTTCCCTCAGAAGTCTTAAGTAAGATTAAAGCATTTGATGTGTTTTTCTGACGGAGACCCCATGATTGAGTACCATTTTTTAATATTGCCGAATTCGTCGAAGACTCTAGTGTTAAACTATACGACGTAAATTGCATTAGCAACTTATCAAGAAATCTTTTAAATTTATGATTTACTAACACAGGAGGCGTGTCTGATTCTAGTAGTGTAAGCAGCTCAGGGGGTAACTCTAATAGCTTATAGCCAACTCCGTCGGGAGCATGATTGAGTGATATGCCTCTCTCTCTTTGACTAGACATTATCGAGATATCGAATAGCTACGTCAAGGCAGCCTGCATATATTGTAATTATTTGGTCATTAGGCGGGTGGCGCGGTTTGGCAGTGGACTGATGTGTAATATAGAAACTGCTGTTTGTCGAAAGGACAAAGTTGGAGAATGCCCTGCTTCTAGGTTAATTCTTATGTAGCAGTGCGAATTACTCTAGGTACCTCATAAAGTGCCTACATACACTAATATATACCTAGAGATAGGTAATCTAATAAGAGGTAGGCTGGTGCATGCACCTAAGGTTGCTAAAGTTACATAAGGATTTCTTGGGGGATAAGGATAAGGTGGGGTTAAAAAATCGAAACGCGGTTTCAAGTTGTCGCGTTTGTTCGGCAAACCTACTAAATCCCCGAGGGACCACAAAAAAATAGAAACCCTACCCACTTCCGGTCTGATCCTAGTCTTAGCCGTCTCTCGTCACTGACCGCAAATGATGCTTCCCACAATAGTACTACTCTTGGAGGACTTCGAGGCTGTTGTTGTGCATTGCAATTATTGAAGATCCGGTTTTGGTCTTTGGCGCATTTATTAATTCTCCTTATTCCCCTCTTCTGCTATATTGCATGCATCATTTTTTGTCGCGGGTGGCCTTGTGTACTATCAATTTAGTCTAGTACTTTGTTGCTTGCTATCAAAGTAAACAATCGACTGCAGCTTTCGACGCGTACAAGAAGCCAGCCTAAACTTGTTTACTAAAAACGAACCTGGTCCTAAGACGTTTGCCTCGTTTAACTTGTCCGCCGGGTCTCTTTGTCGACCTCCTCACACTCGTTCCCCCTGTCTGGAGCATGATGCGACAGGCCTACTGAGGCGGCCATGGTTCGCGTCACCGAGGAGCTGGCTCTATCGCCAGATCATCTCACTCTTTACCAAGCTACCGACCCCTTACTAGGTCATCTCCCCTTGCTCATACTTCACGGACCATCCACAACCGCAAATTATACCTTAAACAGTTCAAGAGTCCAGGTTCACGTATATACCCCGGCCGGTTTCCAATCTTTTCCCCGACTTACCATATCCCCGAACTCGCCTTTCTATAATGTCGTCAACTATCTACCCCGCGAGTTTCAGGGTGACGAGGTCTATCGAGCTTTGGCCTTCGGTTTATTCAAATATTTTCAGGAGTTGCCCGAGCATGTCAAGGCCCACGTTAGAAACCAATATCCCACCATTCGAAATCGCCGACCCGGTTCGTTGCCCTTGCTTTTCAGTGAACAACATGCCGCCGATATTGCTAAGTCGATGGTCAGGGCGGATACTGCCTTCGAAGTCATTCAAAAGCTGCAGTCCGCCCTTCAGACGCAACATATAAATAATATCGACATTGATCTTGTTTTACCACCTGGATCCATCAGTCCTCTCCAGCCTATTGACTTAGAGGACCTTCCCGAGGATGAGGACGATATTTTAGATCCAACCTTGCGACAGTATGGCATGTACACGCCTATTGTTAAGTTGTTCGGTGAACCCGTCTTCCTACCGACTTCGAGATTACGACGAGCCCCCTCCAAGCCGAGCGCGTTGAATAGAACAAGGTCTTTTTCCAAACAGCAGAAGGCGGAGTTGCGGCGGAAAATGGACGAGCTATTAGAGACCGAGGAACGCTACGTGGCGAAGATGGACGAGCTGGTGAATCATCTTGCACCCGAGTATAGGCAAAAGGCCAAGGAGCAACAACCAGGCAGTTTTAGTCCTTCGGAAGAGGACGTTGAGAAATTATTCCCTAGGTCGGCCGATCAAATTTTACAGATTAATACAGGTTTCATGCAAGCTCTGCAACAGATCATGGAAGATACTGAAGGAGATGCTGTGAAAGATATGGAATCTGGTACTGCTTCCTCGAGAGTAGGCGTGTCGGGAAGTGTGATTGGAAAGGCAAAGGATGCAAGCGGAGCTGTGGCAATGGCAAAGGCCATGCTGGAATGGTTTCCAAAGTTCACCGACTGTTACCAGGACTATATTCGAGCGAGTCAAAACTTCCCTCAGCTAATTACATCCTTTATTAGCCAACAATCTAGCTTCTCGCAACGAGTAGCTGCCACTGGAGAGCAACACCTTCGATCTACTGTCATCGAGCCTGTCCAGCGGTTGCCACGTTATAGTTTGGTCATTGACCAAATTGTCGGCTCTCTACCAATTACCCATCCTGCGCTCCAACCTATGTTGAAAGCCAGGGATATCATCGCCAACATCTGCTCCATGGATGACCCGCTCACTGATAAGCCTCATGTTAACACACGCCTACGTCACATGATCGAGAGTTGGCCCATCGACCTCGAACCGCTTGGGCGGCTAATTGTCGCCGCTGACTTCTCTGAGATACCGGCTCCTTACCAGCCTGGTGCAGCTACACAGCTAGTTTCAAGCGACCAAACCGGCATTTTCCTACTCTTTTCAGATTGCGTTGTGATCGTAAGAAAAGTTTACGGTGCCAACACGTCAGCACGCGACCTACTACGTGAGATTGACAAGCCATCGCCGGCTGGTCTATTGGTTTCCATGACGAACGCGGCTGGTGGCCCAGGTTCCTACGAGCTAGCATTTGCCGGTTGGCACGCTTTAGCCGATGTCCGGTTTACAGAATCGTCAGATGGGCGTATGGTCTGGTTAACTTCGTTAAAAGAGATGAAGGGCGCCAATGCCGGTGAATTTGTCACGAGCACGGCAACTACTTCGCGGTGCTTCGTGCTACAGGAATTGTACGAAGGCAAAGCCGCAAAATGGAGTGAGGAGGTCGTTAAGGCTAGAGTAGAAGGCAGATTCTCCGAGAAGGAGCGTGAAGATCCTTGTTGGACTCTACGGTCTATAAGGATGCCTGATACTGGCCTGGGGTTGTTCGCCGCTGTCTTTCAGGAAGGTCTGGATCAACTGATAGAAGGTCGGAAGGAACCGGCCCCTGTTCGTATCGTTATAGACCATGAAAAGGGTACTAAAGGCGCACCTGTCGGTCACTATGGCGTAGAGATATGCTCGGATGTAAAGACGGGGACGGGGAGCATGAGGAAGGTGATGGTCATCACAATAGGACTTAATGGGAAGAAGGCGACCGACGAGATTGGGCTAGATGACTTCCTCCCAACACTTGCTAGGAGAGGTATGTTTTCGTTGCTGGAGAAATGCGGAGGTTTTGCTAATGGAATCGTAGTTATTCAGCTTCTCAGTACTCAATTCAACGTCGGAAACCCAGGACTGACCGCTGCGATGGTGTCATTTCACACAAAAGTACTTCGGGGTTTAAGTGTCTCTAGCAAAGCTGAGAAAACAAGGTCCTTCCTAGCTACATCACCCGTGAAGTACCTTTCAAACTTCCTGAGCGGGAGCAGCAACTCGGATACAAGCAGCGGCCACAAGCATCAGCGTACATTGACGGGAGATGCCCCAATACTTCTTCCTAGCCGACTCAGCCGGTCTAATAGCTCCGTTGACGCGAACTCGTTGCATGGCTCAACCAAGAGTAGGGATGGAATTCGGATTGGGGGAACCGATGATGATCGACCAGAAAACCCATTAGTTCGGCTTGAGCAAACCTTCACTGGCTATATGGCTAGTCTCCAGGCACGCAAAGGTAACTTTATTGGCCGAACGCTGCTCAACAGGTCTGCTGTTGATGAACTTTCCGTGAATGATCTCTACAACAAACTTATCGAAAGTCCCTTCGATATTGAAACTTCATCTGATTCCACCCCTGATGTCATTTTTGTTGCCTTCGAAAAGTTCGTGCGCATCGCTTGGGGAGAACAGATGGGTCCCATTATATCGCTTAAGGCGCTAGACGCTCTCCAAGAGAGAGCTTCAAAAAAGCTTCCTGGAGACTTCGCCGACTTCGTTCATTTCCTCTTTAGAGACATGGCACCCCAAAACCGAAGGGCCTTTACTGCTCTGATCAAACTACTGGCGGACCTCCTCGACGGTTGCGCGAATGATAGCGACAGGGGAGCTCTTACCTTGGCATTTGCAGAACTCCTGGTCGATGATGGAGATGCGCATAATTACATTAACCTGCTTGATAGGCTTGTCGAAGATTGTGACCGAATATTCGACGACGGGCCAAGCGGATTCAGTATAAGCATTGATCAAGCTGAGTCTATCTTCGAATCTATGAATTCGACTACTCGCAGTGTGAGATCGCATACCGGATCGTTTGCTTCGAATACATCCTCTATAAGAAGGAAATTTGGGCTCGAAAACTTTTTGACAAGGCAAAGTAGCAAGAATGAGATGGATACTAGACCATCTGTATGGCGTACTCTGAGCAAACACAACAGGAATCCAGCTACCGGTGAGACGACCCCGACTTTGGCTAAAAGTCCTGTGATTAGGACAAAGTCCGAAATTGGTACACCGTCTAGTCCAAATAGAATAAGGCGACCTGGGTCGCGCGACAGACCTCCCATCACAGGTGCCTTCGACGATAGTTATTCACGGCCAAATAGTTCACAAAAGCTCGAAACAATTGGGGAGCCTGAGACTGAGGAAAATTTCCTTAACACTCCGAGGAGGAAACGTCGGAGCTCACTCTCAGATCTTAAGAGCCTTATGGAGGCAGCAACCCTCGAGGACGAACCGCTGCAACCTCTCTCCCATATGAAGCAAACGTCAGAAAAATTCAATTCCGGGCCACGTATTCCTCCGCCATCCAAAATCCCAACTAGCCCGCCCTCGCAATATAGCAGCCTAACTATTCGCTCGTCCCGCCAAAAGGAAAACGTTGAAGACCCCTTCCAAACCTCGAACGAATCGCCGAGGAAGGGGCATGCCAAGATGCTTTCAACTTCTAATATCCCAACTCTAAGACGTGAGAATAGTTCGGCAACTGAATCAACCTCTAGACCTACTTCTAGCCCAAGTAAGTCTCCGGGGAAGCTTCGATTGCAGTCAACGCAAAAACTCCGAGAGCGTTTGCAAACGGAAAAGAAAGCTATCGAGGATGTAGATGCCAATTTGCAGTTAGAGCTCTCAAAGATCGCTGCAGATATGGCCAAGGTCAACTCATCTCTGCCACGTACCTCGACAATTGACATGAGGAAGCTATCCGCCAGCCTGAGAGCCCTCGAGGACCGTGTTCCCATGCTTGTCGCGCAGTTGTTAGACCGACAAGACCAACTCCAGTATGACATGGACAACACTGTCAGGGCGGCCGAGGGGAAGGTCAGAGCGATCGATCAGCTGTACAAAGAGACCATGGCGGAGAACGAGATACTGTACGAGAAATTCAACGGCGAACTAGGCAAGATCGTCAAAGCGCTTAAGGGCAAGGGGCGCGATGACAAGGAAGACATCATAACACGCA